CAGAAGATATTAAAAATAAATTTAAGGAACCACGGAAAGAGGGGGAAGGAAGTCAAGTTTTTGAAATGTTAAAATGATTGTTAAATTAGTGAAATGTATAAACCTGAAAAGCATAAATAATTTTTTTAAATAATTTTTTTATATGCGTTGCCACCAGTGAAATAATTGGGGAAGTAGCTGTGTAGAACAGGGGTGAAATGGGGAGCTACGGGCCCAGGGACTGAATGTGGCCCTCCAGAACTCCTTACCTGGCCCTCAGAATTGTCCCCAGGCTACACCCTTCACTGGCCCTGCTTTGCAATCGGATTGTCTTTGGCCAGTTAGAATGCAGCTTTGAATGTCAGCCTAACCTATCTCACAGTTGTTATGAGGATAAAATGGGAAGAACTATGTATGCAACCTTGAGATCCTTGGAGGAAAGGTAGGCCATAATGGTACCAAACAAACAAACAAACAAAAGCACTGAAGCACTGATTACTGAAATTATTCTTAACAGATAATACCAGACATGGTATAACAACACAAGCGGTATTAGACGTACATGATATTCAGGTAAAGGTAAAGGGACCCCTGACCATTAGGTCCAATCGTGGCTGACTCTGGGGTTGTGGCGCTCATCTCGCTTTATTGGCCTAGGGAGCCAGCGTACAGCTTCCGTGTCATGTGGCCAGCATGACCAAGGCGCTTCTGGCGAACCAGAGCAGCGCACGGAAACGCTGTTTATCTTCCCACCGGAGTGATACCTATTTATCTACTTGCACTTTGACATGCTTTCAAACTGCTAGGTTGGTAGGAGCAGGGACCGAGCAAGGGAGCTCACCCCATCGCGGGGATTCGAACCGCCAGCCTTCTGATCAGCAAGTCCTAGGCTCTGTGGTTTAACCCACAGCGCCACCCGCGTCTCATGTACATTATATTACTTACTTCCATTGGAGACACAACATTCTCCTACAAACCTCAGTACTGATAACTATTGTAATACCATTCTGAGTTGTGTTTGTATCTACTTTTGTGGAGAGCAGGGAACGGCACTTGTTTTGCATGTGGCGTTTCTCAACCAAACTGCAACTGTACTTTCTACAGCCGAAGGAAATACGTACTGGTATTTCCTTCTGCCATAACTTTGTTAGATACCACCTGTGTGGGATTCTACAGGAAATTAATTGACGTCCTAGGAATTTTGAGTGTGAATATTTTACTCTGGAAACTCCCAGAAGAAGATCCAGGATAGGTTAGAACTGATGCCAGTTCCTTCCTTTCACTTTGTTGTATTTAATCCCAGGACTCTTTTGAACAAGTTTTGTCTGTAATAGGGCTTGGCAGAAAGCTCACTGATCAAATGCATCTGGGCTGGTTTTGGGAACAAAGGCAGAAAGAAGCCTGTCTTCAGTGCGAAACTGCTGGATCCTGTTTTACCTATTAAACGAGAACTCTTCCATGTTATCTGCCTTGGCTGAATGCCAATCATCAATGCTGATTTGCATTCTTCAGTTTTCTATGTCTAATTCTAATTTCCGTGTCCTTGTATAAATATTCATTGCTTGCTTTAAGTCCCCCTCTTATTTTGCCTGTGGTTGTAAATGTGCTCTGTGTCTCTTCTAAGCTTTGAAATACTGCTGGTCTTTATAAATTTTATGAGCGTTCTCAAGGATGCTCTCAGGGCTCAAGGACGACAGATAGAAACACATCAGAGTAACCACGCTTGCTTGCAGCTTCAGCTTGTGTCTCCCTGTCTGGCTTAAAACTAAATAGCCTTAGGATTAGGACTTCATTCAGATCTGTTTTAATATAAGAGGAAAGAGAGGTTTCCCCAGTCTCATCAAAGGGAGACTTATACTTTCTCCATTTAACCATTTAACTAATGGGTTGGCTTCAAGTTATGGGGCAACACAGTATGATTGGCACTCCCGAGCTGCCATCTCCTATAGTAAAAGCCCGGAAAATTATCTCCCAGAGGGTAAGTAATTTCTTTGGATGGCTTCCTTTAAACATCTCTACTAGTTCTTATTGAATATCTCCTTGTTCTTAACAGGGATAAAAATGTGGTTTTTTGTTCTCTAAATAAAAAAGTGACATTTAAAAGGGGGGGGTGGAATCAGTGGGGCAATGTGATTACTTATGTCCCTCCTCAGGAAGAGTCCTCTAGGTCAGAAAGCAGCTGGGGGGATGCATTTCATTTGCTTACTCGACTTACTGAACCCTTGTGTATGGGTTTGATACTGCCTTCATTGCATCCTAGTCTTACTAAATCCAAAGTTTTAAAAGAATGATTAACATTCAGGTGTTGTTTGAATTGCTGTGGAATGCTACATTCAGGGGTTTGGGGAAGGGGAGAGAAAAAACACCCATTAAAACCCAACACTAATTAGGAGTTGGACCCTTAAAATCCTCCCACATCCACCTTCCTGTCAACTTAGATCAGGTGGGGGGGGAGCCCTTTCCCACTTTCCCCAGAGGTTCATCTGATGGTGACACAGGAAACGGGTCTTCTCTGTGCTAGTGCCCAGTATGTGGAATCACCTACCTCATTGGCAGTGCTTACAGGCTGTCCAGACCATTTCAGTTTTAACAGGTGATCTGTGATCTGGCAGCCCGGCATTTAAATGTGGCATGATCCTCCATTTTCTGTTGGTCTTGGATTTGTATAACTGCACTGTTGCTTTCCTTGTTACACTTTTTGTAGGGTTTTTTTGTGTGTGTATGTGTGTTTTTAACATTATTGATTTGGGCTCCCCTGGGAGGATATAAAGTTAATGATGATGATGATGATAAAAAATAAACTAGGTAGATTTTGAAAATTGTCTCTGTAAGCCGCTTTGGTTATCTCATGTAGAAGTGGAAATCTGGATATAAATCTTTTAAGTCATCATTATAATCTATGAGACACTGGTATTCCGGTTGAGTATTTGGAAAAGTTGTATTACCGAGTCAGGGAAAAACATGCTCAGATCGATAGTTTAATAAAAGTAGTGAGCTGTCAATGGTACATTATGTATTCAATGATGGGTACTGTAAGAGAAAACCAATGACTGAAGATTCAAGGCTGTCACCTACTGGTAAGTTTCAGAACTGATTACACCTAAGTATTGATTATGATAAATAGGGAGGCTTTTCTTGATAATGAGTTCACCTATAGCTAGTGTAAATTTTGTTGTTTCACCTTTTCCTTTTTCAGACCCACATGGCTAGGAAATGTTCTGTCCATGCAAAATGCATGGAAAAAATACTGCCTTCTGTGGGCAAAGTATTTGGCGTGCCTTTTCATCCCCTTTCCTGTCGTCTTCCTCCTCTGCTCTCACAGCTTTAAAGGGGGGGGGGCGAGTAGGAGTTTCTAAATTTATTTTCCAGTTGATTCTTTGTACAAGCTTGTTGGATATACTTGAATTGTCTCCACAATGGGGAACATCATAGAAAATCTTAAAGATGCCCATTTAAAAACAAGTGCCATGGTAACACATGGTAACCATGTACACCTGCATGATTTTTGGTAGCGGGATTATTTTAAGGTGGAGTGGGGAATCTCAGGCCCAGGAACTGAATGTTGGCCTCAGGACTCTCCCAAAGCCACATCCTCTGTCCCCAGGACACACCTCTCAACATCCCTGCTCTGCGCTCTTGAGAGCATCTGCCTGGCTAGAATGTGCCAGTAAACCGTGACGATGCCCCTAGCTTGTGTCCAAGTTCATATGTGGCTTTTGCGTGGCTGGAGTGCTCCTTCCAGTTTTGCCTCTGGTTCTAGCCCCAACCAACCACCGCCACCCAACCACAGCCTTGAGAAAGTACAACCCCAGAGCTGGAAAGGAAGCTTCCCATACTGATCAGATAACACTGCCCGTTAGCAGCTTTTAAGCATTTTAACAAACCTAGACAGCATCTTAAAAAGCAGAGACATCACCTTGCCGACAAGGGTCCGTATAGTTAAAGCTATGGTTTTCCCAGTAGGGATGTATGGAAGTGAGAGCTGGACCATGAAGAAGGCTGATCACCAAAGAATTGATGCTTTTGAATTATGGTGCTGGAGGAGACTCTTGAGAGTCCCATGGACTGCAAGAAGATCAAACCTCTCCATTCTTAAGGAAATCAGCCCTGAGTGCTCACTGGAAGGACAGATCCTGAAGCTGAGGCTCCAATACTTTGGCTACCTCATGAGAAGAGAAGACCCTGGAAAAGACCCTGATGTTGGGAAAGATGGAGGGCACAAGGAGAAGGGGACGACAGAGGACGAGATGGTTGGACAGTGTTCTCGAAGCTACCAACATGAGTTTGACCAAACTGTGGGAGGCAGTGGAATACAGAAGTGCCTGGCGTGCTCTGGTCCATGGGGTCACGAAGAGTCGGACACGACTAAACGACTAAACAACAACAACAGCAGCTGTATGGAAGCAATCTTTGGCAGAATCCAAGGCTGTCATGTAATAGGAGGACAGAAACCAGTTTACATGGATCCTTGGGATCAGCCCTTCATTCCCAAATAACTAAGTACAGTATATGTGGACACAGCATTAATGCAGAAATCTCGGAGCAGCCAACTGGCTGTCACTTTATTGCTGCCATCCCAAGCAGTGTTTAAACGAGATGGAAACTACCCTTTGGTGTAGTTATATCATGGCCAGAAACTCAATAAAGTTATTATCTGGGTTGACAAGCCCTTGGCTGACACTGGAATTAAGCAAATCAGAGTACAAAAGGATTTGAGAAGCTGTGACTTGCTCTGCAACCCAGTAAGTGTAGGGAAATCGCTCAGCTTAGCAACTGCTGTTTGACAGAGGGAGGTGCCTCAAGCCTCAGCTTAATGGGTTGAGGACTGCTCCGCACTTCACCTGTAAACCATCTGCAGAGCTGCCTCTGCTGGGGACAAACAGGTACTATGGAAGATTGAGAAGCCTACCTTGCTCCACCCAGTGACTCAGTTGCCACCAACTGTAAATACTTCCCCTGTAAACAGAGCTTCAGTTGAGTGAAAGGAGAGGAAGAGAAGTCTTCTCCACAATCGCTCTAAAATGCACGTAACAGAAGGGCCCAGAACCAAGACTCCAGGAACAGGTGAGTATAATTTCTTCTGGATAGGGATGCTGGAGAAGTCAATCAAATGGAAATGGGAGCACAAATCACCACTATTGGCACATTCATTTGAGGTCAGGAATGGAAATCATGTCCAGAAATTTATGTAAACCATTTTTTTCTGCATTGTTTTTCATTTTTCCCTTCCATCGAAATGCATTGAAATTAATTGCACAATTGATTGCTTTGGTTTTGGCCTAGATGAATAATGTAGGTTTTAGCAGAAACTGAACTGTAGCAGAACAGAAAGAGTGCTGATTGTGATAAGCACAGGATGGGGTGAAAATTGCTGCCTCCTTACATTCCTTACTGCTGAATAATGGTCTGATTCAGGGATAAGTGCATGAGTTGGAGGATGAGCCTTTTGAAATGAACTTCATCCTGGGGGGGATGGAGCTGGAATGAAGCTATAGCCACGTAATAGTTTCACAGAACGGCAAGCTTCCTTTTTTTGTGTGGCCATGTCATATACCATATTTTTTGCACCATAACACTCACTTTTTTCCTCCTAGAAAGTAAGGGGAAATGTCTGTGCGTGTTATGGAGGAAATGCCTACGGGTGGCATGCCTACGGATTTTCCTCCTCTAAAAACTACGTGTGTGTTATGGTCGGGTGCGTGTTATAGAGCGAAAAATACGGTATGTGCTTCTGCTCTGGCTTTTGCTCTTCCCAAAAGGGATGTCCCACTTGAAAACCATAGAGAGACATTCCAGGCAGCAGCAGTGAGTGGTTGCTAGGCAACCACATTCTAGAGAACAGTTTAGGGATGGGCAATGTAGCCAAGAAGTGGAAAAAGAGATCTGAGTTTTTCAGCTGCCTGAGAGGAGCCTGTGTTTGGGGATATGCAGTTTAGAAAGAGATTAAGAAGTTCCAAAAAGATGTAGGATGTGAACTTAGAGGTCATCCAGTGAAACCAATTAACTACAGGTGTGAGACGGACCAAGGGAAGTACTTCTTTACACAACCTATCATTAACATATGGAACTCATAGCCACAAGATGTGATGATGGACCAGTGGTTTTGATGGCTTCAAAAAGAGAGGATACATTCACAAGGAAAGGTCTATCAGTATGAAACTTCCATGTTCAGAGACAGTTAAGCTTTTCATATGGTCATTCGGAGATAAGGCTTGTGCGTCCAAAGGTAACTTGATGAGTGTCTACTCTAAATCAAAGAGTGTAAGAGTGGAATGGCTGCAAGTTACTGAAGGTTGACTTTTAGACTCATTCAATTACTTATGTTTCTGTCTTCCTTTTCTGTTGTGATCCTTCTTTACATCTGGCTCCTTCCAACAAAACTGGAACTTTCCTCTCCCACCTATTGCCTGTTGAAATGCAGCGAGAAAAAAGGGAAAGGTGCCACAGAAAAATTGAGGCCAAACTCAAGGGAAACATGCAGTTAAATACAATTATCAATCAAAAGAATTTATTTCCATTTCTGCTTTACCATATGGTTAAAGATGCTTTGAAATTTAAGAAGGAATATTTACCTTACTGTGTTTTTTTTTAAAAAAAGAAATTTATTTGCATTTTCAAAAACGGGAACAGGGAGCATACCTTACTATGTACTAAATAGCCCCTGGGCTGACCTTCATGTATTTTAAACTTTCATTTATAGCCCAACCCTCCCTGAAGCTCAGGCTGGCATGCACGGTTCCCTCCTTCCATTTAATCCTCGCAATTATTATGTGAGGTAGGTTAGCATAAGTAGTGATTGGCTGAAGGTCACCCAATGAGTTTCATGACTGGAAGTTTGAACCTGGGTCCTCCCAGTTTGATACTCTAACCATTACATCAGGGGGTTGCTATCATGTGCCATCCAGTACCTTCCCAGGTACCCTTGGGCATCCCCATTCAGCTGTAACAGTGTCTCCGCGGCATCTCCCCCAAGAGTCCCTGTCAAGGTTGACTAGAAGACTCTTGCTGGTTTTCAAATATTCTCAGGGATGGACTTTGGTAATCCTTCATAATATGGCACCCTGCGTGAGGCCAAAATTTGATGCCCCCAAATAGATCTTCTGAATTGTGGCTCTTCTCAATTTTGTGTCCCCCTCAGTTCGGTGCCCTGTCTGGGGGGCGGAACTGCCTGCACCACGCTAAATCCAGCGCTGCTATTCTGTTTGCTGTTACTCCACCCTTCGATATTTTCACTGCTATGGAATGTAGATATTAATTCTGCTTATCTCATGCATTGCTGTGACATGCTCTATGGGGAGCTGGCTTCAGGCAACAGGCCAATTGGCAGACCAACTCTGCATTACGAAAACCTCTGCAAATGTGACATGGTGGCTAGTAACATCAACCCTGCCATGTGGGAATCCCTTCCAGATGACCTCAGTGGCTGGAGACAGACAGTCATGTCGTGTATCCATAGCAGTGACCAGAGAAAGAATGACTGCTGGGAGGAGTGCAGAAAGAGCAAACACCATGGTGCATCTGCAGCAGCCCAACCAGACACCTACATCTGCCCCAGCTGCAACAAAACATGTCTCTCCTGTATCGGTCTCTACAGCCACAGCAGGCTCTGTAACCATCCAGCAATTTGACCCCCAAAGCCACACTCCTCCATTGTCTCCTGAAACAGATGGATACCAGCAATGGCAACAAATGTTGTGGTGTTTTCTCACTATCTGGAACACTGTATTTTAAAGTAGAGTGTTGCTCTATCTTCACTTTCTGATTAAAGGTTTATACATACTGTTATAATGGTGTCCTTTCAAATGTTTCTTCTTCTTTTTTGGAATAATAGAATCATAGAATTGTAGAGTTGGAACGGGCCCCCCGGGGTCATCTAGTCCAACGCCCTGCGATGCAGGAATCTCAACATGTGGTCCCCGCATTCAATTCGAAACCAGACCAGACCCTGCTTAGCTTTGCAAATGTGCTAGCAGTTTTATTGTGTTGCTTTTAAGTCTGCAAAGCCATATCTTGTGTGTAATATTGTGTGTGTGCGATATTAAATTATTCAGACCGGTTTTGTATGCATCCCCCAAGATAGTGTTTACATTGCATCTGAAGCACAAGATTAAATACACACAAATCTCATACACCCTGCCCAGCCTTCTTTATTACACACATGGATGGTATTGTGATATATGGAAAGAAAGAAAAAGCCATCCTCAAAACACACCAAAACTTAAATGAGCATTAAAAAATTACCTCACAAGAATTGCAGGTATCCAAATATTTCAAATCTGAAACCTGAAGAAAATACTGAGAGAGACAAGCCATTTCTCAATTTCAGCAGAATATCTTTCTCACTGTGTGGAAAGTGTCATGATATGCTTTTCAGAGTGGCCATTTTAGTCTCTTACAGAAAAAAAACTCATTTTATTGCACCCGAAAGACTAACCAAACTATTAAGATATGACTTCGGGTGCATCTGATGAAGTGAATTTTAGTCTAGAAACATTTATGCCATAATTTGTTAAGGTGCCACAAGACTCTGTTATTACATGATTCACTTGTGACTTTGATACGATACCTCCAAAATTTAGTACTTCAGCATATTTTTGGTGGAGCCATCCTGTCTTAACTGAGATGTTCTGAACTCTGGCTGCCATCAGCTCCTGTTAAAGTATCCATGAATGATTCCAGATGAGGCTTCCCTTATGCAAACCAATGATATCTTGTTCCTGGGTGTTGCAGAGGTCTGTGTGAGGCTTGTAGACCTCAGTGTCTTACATTGCTGCCTTGGTTTTTGATTTTGTTTCAGAGCATGAGCTTCTAGAGGAGCTGCTGACTTATGATGACCTCTTTCTGGAAACATTCAATGCTTTTCTGGCTATGCCTGTGAGTAGAGGTCACATCTTTTCCTGTTATCTGAACTCTGGGTTTTGACTGAGTTCGAAGATACATTCACAGTTGTGATATGCTGTTCTTCTCAGAGAACAGTGCATTGGGGTTTGGTTTTTTAAATGTAAATGGCTGGTGGGTGGGGGATATTTGTGGGAAAGGGCTGCATGCAAAAGGTCCCAGGTTCAATCCCTGGTGTCTCCCAAGTGCGGATGTGAAGTGTTTCTTCCTGAAATTCTAGAAAGCCACTGCTTAGTAGGTGTGGATAATACTGAACTAGATGGACCAGTGGTTTGACTTGGTATAAAGACGGTTTTTATAAGATCAGGACTGGGCAAGGAGAATTAATCCTTGCCCCACCTCACACTGCAACTCTGATGAATATTGCCCCCTAAGCTGTATGTAAATGGAGATTTCATTCCCAGGGTTAATAATGGCTCCAGGAATGAATTTTCATTGGGATCACAGTGGATGCGGGGAGAAGGGCAAATAGCAGAGGTGGCCAGGATCCATTGGGACTGATAGGTCAGAAAGCTGGGAGACCAACAGCAGGGGGAGCCAGAGCCCATGGAAGACAGAACCAAGTACCGTATTTCCATTTGTGTCCCCATCTTCCATTCCTGGCCTCTCACCTCCCATGACACACTTTTAAAAACATTTTATAAATGTGAGGCATGACTGAAGATATGCATAAGCATATTTGCATTTTTTAAAAACAAACAAAGTTACTTGTTTGATGCAATGGAGTAAGGACAAGACTAAATGCTTGCTCAGTTGCCCTTCCAGCATTCCACTTTCTGGCATATATATTTGTAGCACCAGTTGCAAAGCTAGGTTTTAATAGCTGCTGAAGGACCTGTGGTGAGTGACAGCTCAGAAATACTCTGTGCTCATATTCTTCTTAGAACGAAAAGTGACCTCTGCAGAGACTGTTCTACTGGCTTTTCAGGTGATGTGTCACTTTCCTGCCTAAAGGGATGCTTTTTCTCTTTCAAGTAGGCTTTCCCTCTTAGACTGCATTACGAACGGCTGACAGGACGACTGCAGGAGCTGGATGGCTTCCTCTTGCCAATTGAGTCCAATTCTCTTTGCTATGGAGCAACCGATACAGAGAGGGAAAGGGCCCTGAGCTGGTTAGCGCAGGAGCGCTTCCTCCCATTTCAAAGGTTGAGCACTGAATCTGTTTGCATTTTCCTATGCAATGCTCTGCACTATTTCTCACCTTTCCGTTGACCTGTCACATTGCAGGTATTTTCCATGCTTCAGATATGGGTTCAGGGTTTTGTTCCTGCTGCTGTGAATTCCTATGTGTCTATAAGGTGGTTGCAGTCATTTTAATCTTGCAAAGAGGGAAATGGACAGGAAACACAGAAGCCATTAAATGTCATGTAGTGTGTAATATGCCCATTCTACAGATCAGTTTTATTTGTTTGGCCCAGTCATGTTCACAGCTAGAACAACAGAACCAGTTCCTGTGCTTAATTTCATCCCATATTATATTGGGCCCCTTAATTACTTTCAAAAGCGGTACTGAGCTCTGGGACATGACTCCTTCCATGCAGTATTGCATTAATCGCAGGCAACCAAAGAGGATAATTTGAGCATGTACTTTTCCTTCCCTCATAAGTAACAACAGTTAAACTTCAAGCCCCTGAGACCAAGGAGCTTGAATAGATATTCTCATGCTGTGTCCAAGCAAATCTGTCCCAGGTTGCAGTCACGTGGGATGAAGACCCAATGCCTACTGTGGACTTCAGAATAAGGGTGCATATGATTGTGATACAAATCAAGAAATAAACTACTTGAGCATCCACAGATGCAACTGAAGACATTTCCAATGTTAGAAAACCCGCCAATTCCTTTTGGTGCAGGGTTAGGGAACCTGTGGCCCTTCTGATTGTTGAACTCCAACTCCCATCAGTCCCCGCCAGCAGGGCTAAGGGTTAAGAATGATGGGAGCTGTAGTCCAGAAGCATCTAGAGATCCCCTCCAGTGCTAAAGACAGAACTACCAGCCTAAACCCCATGTTGCAATATAAGAACAAATTTTCTGAAGAAGTGTGCATGCACACGAAAGCTCATACCAATAACAAACTTAGTTGGTCTCTAAGGTGCTACTGGAAGGATTTTTTTTGTTTGTTTCGACTACGGCAGACCAACACGGCTACCTACCTGTAAACAAATTTTCTGTCACAGAAGCGTGTGCAAGTAGACTTTCTGAAGGGGGGGAGGGATTTGTGAATCATGCCCCCCTTTTCTAATTTGTAAAAGTTAACAGTTTAACTGTGAATATGATGCATGTATCACCTAAAATAATTTTCTAAAGGATAAAGTGGGCTTAGAATAATGCTTTGCAGCCCTTCCTGTGGCCTGGTGCTCTGAGCTGTCACTGTTTCTGAAGCGTTCATTTGCTGCCTGTTTCCTGCTAGGACTCTCTTTTACCTGGAGTATAAACTGGCAAAGCTGTTGCTGTGTCCTCTGGATGAGAAGTACCCAGGGAGTCGCTATGCAATTCGTGGGTTCAGTCGCCAGTCTGACAGCACTGCCATCTCCAGCATCCCCAGCCATTCATCAACAGAGCGGCAGCCCACTGGAGTCCCAAGCCACGTGCTGCTAAGACTTCCTAGCCAAACACGCAGTACTCCGGCCTGCCTAGGTGAGTCTCCCTCAGCTGCTGTTTTCTTCACCCACAGGAGTGGATCTCCTCAGCCATATCTTGGTCCCTTTCCACTGCTGGAGAGATGCCTGTCAGTCTCTTCGCATGTTTAGCTCTCAGACTGCTATTTGGTTGGCTGGAAAGAAGAAAAAACTATGGTGTGTGACTGCACTTGGAATACTGTGTATAGTTCTGGTTGCCTCACTTTGAAAGGTATTTTAGAGATGGAAAAGGTGCAGAAAATGGTAATGACCAAGGATCACCTCCTTTGTCCAGCAATAGCAACCTTTTTACTTAGTACATGAAGCTGCCATCTCTTAATAGCCATTGATAGATTTGTTGTCAGTGAATTTGTGGCTAGTTCTTTTTTTTTTTTACAATTCATTAGAGCACAATTTTTATTAATTTAAAAAGACTACCAGCTTTTAGTACAGTTCCATGCAGTAGCTTCAATAGAGGTGTCATATAGACAATGTCATAAAGAACAAAGTTTAGTCAGTTAAAGGGAAAGATTGCAGGGAGGGGTTGAGTTTTTTGCAAGAGTAAGAAGAAAGCAAGATGAACTATGGAATGTATCAAGTTTTGTTTAAATCACAGTTCTCCAGAGCTTTTGCTTTAGTTTAAACAAAACATGCAACCATACATTGTGACATTATTTTAGGGAAAATAGGGGGAAACATTATGGAAAACACTTGTTGAGAATTCTGACTGGAAGGCTAGTTCTTTTTAAAGTAATCCAAGCTAAGATTCCTAAGAGGAACCTGCCAAGCAAAAGTAAAATTATTTATGTTGCCTTGACCATGTCAAAAGGGAGTTTGGAAAATGACTTAGATGGGGCAGGATCCAAACCTTCCTACTGTCACATGAACCCATTGCACTTGCTTCCATTCTACTCCCAGGTAGGGAGCAAGCCTCGCCATCCATCAGCTCATCTGTAAACATTTTCTTTCTGATCCCTCTAACCTTCTGTCTCCATGCTTTCCTGCAGGACATTTTGTAAGATCATCTGGCCAAACCTCCACTGAGATATCTTTGGAGTTCCCAGGTATCTTGAGTTTAGCTCTATCTCCAGCCACAGAACATCTGAGCAGGCTCCAGCTCCAGAGACTCCTGTCTGACTCCAGCATACGAAGAGCAACTGGTAGGAACCCTGCAGCCAGGTTGGGGAAATTGGAGGTTGGCTAAGAGCTAACTGGAAAAGGGTGCATTCGTTGCCCTGGCCCCTGGAAGGAAGTGCTTTCGAAGGCCAGCTATTTGTGATTTTGCTTCTGATATGCGTCCCCTTACAGGAAGGCTCAGAAGTGACTGGACCAATGCAGGTGAGCCAGTGGTAACTCCAATTCATCTAAGCAGGGCTGCTCTCGCCTCCTCGCCTGATCAAGAATTCACTGAACTTCACATGGATGGGTAAGTCTGGCTGCTAAAAGTGCCATGACGAGGATACTAAATTATTTCTAACCAAGTTAATGTAATGTTCTCCTGCCAGATGAAATGGTCTTGTGAAACCTGAAATCTGTTGTCCAATGTGTACGGCATAGCTCACTTTTCATGGTGACTATGAATTCAAGTTTTCCATGCTTGTGAGTTATCTAATGCAAAATGCTGTTGCCGGAATATTTACTGGATAAAGGTTATCAGAACAGAATTACATCCATATTGGTTGATCTACAATGGTGGCCAGTCCATTACTGTGTCCAATTTAAGGCAATTGTTTTAAGCTTTAAAAACCTAAAACAGCTTGGGACCTGAGTACTTTACAGACTGCTTTCTTCCATATGTTCCTCCCTGCATGCCTTGTTCATCTTATGAGAATATGATCCAGATTTCTTGGCTGCCTGAAGCACAGCAACACGGTGTTCTGCTTTATCAGTGGTGGCACCCATTCTGTATATTGCACAGGCATGTTGTAATAGTATGTTTCCTACATCAGACTAAATGAACTTTGATATCCCTTTGAACTATCTAATTCTGTTAATGCCCTACGATTTGCCTGCAAAAAGCTGTCCCCATCAATTGTCTGGTTTTGACACACTGTTCCATCTGTTCCTTTCGAAGTTGTCGGAAGCCATTTTCAGGTTCTGGGAAGGTTTTGCAGTTTAACTTGAATGAGACAAGGAACTCCCAGGAAGGGGAGGTGGACACATTTATTTCGCCTTGCTTTGGAAGTGCCGCTCTGCAGCAGCTAAAAGAAGAGATCCTAGGGACTGTGAGTAATGTAGCATCCTGCTGAGAAACTTGGCTTGGAGGCATTCTCTCTATCCAGTTCATTTTCCCCACTTCCTGACTTCTATGGATCCATCTATATAGCATAGCTCAGTCGGTTAGAGGGTGATGCTGTTAAATGCCAAGGTTGCAGGTTCGATCCCCGTAAGGGACAGCTGCATATTCCTTCATTGCAGGGGTGTCAACTATATGATCCTTAGGGTCCTTCCCAAGTCTCTGATTCTATGATCTTGTATTTCGATGATGAATACCAAAGCCACAGGAGAAAAGGTGGTTGTCTCACTCTGTTCAATGGTGATGTGAACTGCAGTGTTAACAACAGTGGCCCTATTAGGGCATTCGGTCTCCATGCATGTAGAACCCTCCACTAGGCTTAGATTGATTAAAGTTATAGATTGTTTCCCACTACGAAAAGTCCCAACACAGTTTACAGCCAAAATAGAAATGTAATAATAATAATAATAATAAATTGCACAAACATGTTAAGACATAATAAAGAATACAGTGTCATGAAAGAATTAGTTCTCAAGGTAACCACCCAGAACATGACAGTCAGTTGAAAGTTGAAAACACAATTGTCTTTGCCTGATGCTGAAACAATGGCAAAGTTGGTGCCAGATGGACCTCCCTGAGGAGAGCATTCCATAGACAGGGGGGCTACTACAGAAAAGACCCATTCAGGGCTGTACTTGGCACGAGGGGCCTCCATGAGTAAACTGGGTAAAAATGGCATGTTGGTAAGGGCAGGGCTTTGAAGCACCACACACACACCCCACTTCTCCCTGCATGTAACTTTCCCCATTTTTTCCCTCTTGTGCAACGTAGCCATAGAATGGGCCCTCAGATGTATAGTTGTGGGCAGGTGGCATTCCCTTCTCCTCTCAGGTGCTTACAGCTCTACCAGCCATCTTTCCCCTCCCCCCCTCCCTCTTGTATTGCAGAGGGCTGGCATGGACAGCTTCAGGGAGTTCCTCCATGGCACACTGGGAATCCACCTCCTTGACTTCTGGATTGACTGTGAGGATATTATGGAGCACACCACGCACCTGGAGAAGGCCAGAACTGCATCCCAGGATATCCAGCTGTTCTTTTTCAGTGCTCTTCGGTATGGATGCAAATGAATTTTTCAAACTAAATGTGGAGGCGAATAGCTATACAGATGTGACATGGAAGATCCCTGACTGGGTCTTTTTATAAAGCACTTGTTGCTGTGCTGTAGCTACAAGGAGCAAAGGCCTAGCCATCATCATCATCATCATCATCATTATTATTATTGCCCTGGGTGAAGCCTCCAGAGGGGTGGGTGTGTGGGTGAGCCAAATTGGGTCTTTGACCTGGATGAAATAAAGCCTAGTTTCGCTCCTGCTTGTTAGCTGGTAGAAGATGCTTAACTCTTTCCTTCATGCTGTTTACCAAAACTGTATCACCTTCAAAGCTGCTATTAGCTCCACAGCATGGATAAATGCGGGCACCTATGAGATGACTGTACTTCCCACACCCCCAGTGGGGCTAATAGCGATGCTGGTGCTGTGTTGCACCACACGGTCCGTCACCACTTCAGTGTTTCTTAAACATCTGGGTGGTATCACCCTAGAAGAGAGCCCCATGCAGGCTGACGCCATGATGTGTTAGTAACAAACGGGCTCTGAGTTACATGGCCCACCCACTTGCCCCACCAAATCTAAGTTTCTGGCTCGGCCAGCTTGCACTCAGCTCAGACTTTTCCTGCTCTAGCTTTTCCTTCCTCTTTTGTTGGCAGGAGCATTCAAGCCAAGTACAAGCTGATGCTTCCTCCTGCCTGTCGGGTGAGTAATGCTGCTCGGGGTGCAGGTGCCCCTGCATTTTTCCAGGTCACAGCTTTAAGAGAACCTTTGCTCTCCCCGGGGAAACTGACAAATCTGCCAACTGCGTAGCTCAGCTGCTAACCTGCATGGGGGTGGAAGCCCAGGGACAAATGTCTACCTCCTACCACCTCCTCTGTCAGGAAAATTCTTTGTTTCCTGAAGCTAAGGCCTGAATCTCTTGATGGGTGGGGTGTGTGTGTGTGTGTTTTGTATCAGAGCAAGCTTCTGTAGCCTCTTTCTATCCTCTCTCTGTTGGCCTTTTTACCATTGTTTCCAACTTTGCATTGTGGGTGCTACCAGACATGGACTATTTTTGCAGCATTCAGTAATGGCTGTTCTGCTTTAAAAATAAAACCTCATTGCAGGTTGATTCTGCATCACCCCACTGTCTCCACACCTTCCCATTGTGGGTGGACCTATACCAAAACTGCAATCACCAGCTCTTTGTGTCTCGTTCAAATGACAGTCTTGTCCTTTTGTGTTCTTTGACAAAGACATCTGATTTGTTCCTCCTCCCTGGCTATGATAATCTCTGCCCATCACTTAAGCCTTTTTGGACCATCTTAAGACAAGTCAGCAGAACATGAGAGTTATCAACAGTCTTTTGCAAAGTCTTAAAAAGGCATCGCCTTAGAGCACCCACATGGATAGTTCTATGTATAGAACTCAGGAAATCTATAAGAATGTGTGAATAATGAGAACAACTTATTTAAGCCTTACCACCTGTGAAAGAGCTTAGGCCCCATTTATATGAAGGGTATCTGGTGTGATTGTTGTTGCTTCTGTGGTAGTTTCCATTCCAATTGGCATATTCCACACCCTTTGAAGTACATCCCTTGCTTAACAAGCTGTTAAAACAGGGCTGGGAAATTTGTGGTCCTCCTGATGCTGGTGAATCTAATTCCCATCAGCCCAAGCCAGTATGGCCAATAGGCAGGGATGATGGGAGTTGTAGTCCAATAACACCTTGGGAGCTGTCACACAGGTGACACATCCAGTGCCAGATTTACTTATAAGCTAAAGGAGCTATAGCTTAGGGCCCCACTCTCTTGGAGGACTCCCAAAAAATTAAAGGAAAAAACAAATGGATGTACATTTCCAAAATAAAAGATAAAAAAAAAATAAAATAAAACCCACATACAGCAACAGTGTTTTTTGTTGTGCAGGCTCCTATTTGTTATGTTCAAATGGCTTTAGATACCTCTTAGGTCCATAAATTACCATATAGCATATATTCAACACAAAAAACAGTGACAATTTGTTGTTGACTAGGGCAGCTGGACATATAAAGGGCCCCATTACCTTCAGTAGCCTAGGGCCTCATCAAACCCAAATCCGGCCCTAGACACATCCTTGTATTAGAGGAACTTTGCCCGGACTCAGCCAGTGTGAGAGCAATGAAGGAGGTGGTAGCAACTGCAAATGTCTAGAAGAAACATGACAAGTGGTTATTTAATTTCCCTTTTATACAAATTGCATAATAACATTACTGCTTTCCTGACCCTCTGCTGGCAGCAGCAACGCGATGAAACTTCAAGCCCTGAGGAGACTGCTTTTGCTGCCTTGAGCAGAAACCAATACGATGCTTTGAGGCGCCTGCGCTCCTACTGGGTTCCCCGGTTTCTCATTCACCACCAGAGGACCAGGCAGTGCAGGTTTGTGTGTTGAGGGATCATGAAATGAACGGGAGTTTTTTTTTTGTTTTGAGTACCTTTCTGATAATATTTTTTATTACTTTTTTGGCATACAAAATTTTTTAAGACATACCACACAAGTTATTATACATATGTCCTTGTTTGGACTTCCTTCAGCATCTCTGATAGTCTTCCGTCTTGATTATTTCTGCTGCAGTTCTTAACTTAATATTGCCTTTACCTTTTCTAACAAATCATTTCTCCCTTTCCATTTTTACAATATTTCTTAAATTACTCCTCACAGAACTTCTTGTAGTCCTACAAGACTACGTTTGTAGAAATGAACGGGAGCTTGGGGTGTGCGGAATGGGTTATTTTTTTCAGCTGCACCGGGCAGTAAAATTATATTTCTCTGTGTTATGTACTGAGTTGAATAGGATCCAAAATGCAGCAGTCTGATTGGTCCTAGAACAATAGGATTCAGAATGCAGCAGTCTGATTGGCCCTAGAACAATAGGATTCAGAATGCAGCAGTCTGATTGGCCCTAGAACAATAGGATCCAGAATGCAGCAGTCTGATTGGTCCACAGGAGCCACCCAATCCAGCTCCAGGTGAAAGTGAATCCGCAACCTGATTGGCCTACAAGTGAATCCTGGAACTGGCCAATCACGTGGGGCCCAGTGTGTAAATAATGTATTTAAAGCAGACATTCTGAGGGAACTTCCATTCCTCCTCACCACTATGAGCTGAATAAAGAGCATGAAATCCACTCTTGACTCCAAGTATATTTCACTCTGGCAGCAAAATTCAATAACCAGAGAGGCCTTTGACAGGAAGATGAGGCAACGTCTTTTTCGTTTAGAGAAAAGGCAAGTGAGGGGTCACTTGATACAAGTTTATAAAATTACGAACTGCATGGAGCAAGTGGATAGAGAAAGATTTTTCTCCTTCCCTTCTAAACACTAGAACTTGTGGGCATAAAATGAAGCTGAATGTTGGAAGATTCAGGGCAGATAAAAGAAAGTACCCCTTCATGCAGTTAAACTATGGAACCGCTCCCACAGGGGGCAATGATGGTCACCAACTCGGATGGCTTTAGGATTAGACAAATTCATGGAGGTTAATGGCTACTAGCCATGATGGTTATGCTCTGCCTAAATAGTCAGAGGCAGAAATGCTTCTGAATGCCAGAATTCGGAGGAGGAGATAGTGATGTTGTGCTCAGGTCCTGTTTGCAGGATTCCCACAGGCACCTGGTTGGCCACTGTGAGAACAGGATGCTGAAATAGATGGGCCATTGGCCTGATCCAGCAAGCTCTTCTTATGTTCTTATGAGACATCTAGGGCAGGTAAACAGGAGCTTGGGTTGTTGCACAGAATCATTGAGTTGGAAGGGAGGCCAAAGGGGGATCTAATCCAGTCTCCGACCAATGCATGGAACTCCCTACTTTCACTAGAGCAGGGATGGGGAGCCTCAGGCCTCAGGGCCAAATGCAACCCTCCATGCTTCTCTGCCTGGCACTTGGGACTCTCCCAATGCCACACCTCTCACCAGCCTAGCTTTGCACCTTCCCTGGGTGCTCTTGCCAGGCTGCAATGTGCCCTTGAACTCTGGCAATGCCTCTTGCTTGCCTAGTTGGAGGCCGGAGAGGGATGTGTGAAGAAACTAGCCTTCTGTACAGAAGGTAAAATTCACATTCATTGTTACATATTAACAGCTGCTACACTGAACATTTAAAAGTGATCTTCATGTGGTGACTATAATGTGCAAATTGGCTCCTCAGGGCGCTTGCATTCTCTGTTGTCTTCCTCAAGCTGAGGAGTTTGCTGATGTCCTATCGTCTCCCTCTCTCTTTCAAATGGGGAAAGTGGAAGGCTGTTTGTTGGCTCAAAATAATGCCAGTCTATTTATGTTAACACTTCTGAATGCTTAGGCTCAGTTCAGGCTTCCCAGTCGACAAGGAGCTCTTCCCAAGTACTGACTTCCTGTCCTCTCTTAACATGGCGGCATTGCTTCCTGTTGTGGATGACCAAAGGGACACAATGAGAAATGAAGACTCGAGAATGGTGTGCGTACCAACCCTTTAAAATCACAGAATGCTTGGTTCTGTTTTATTTCTGACCTATACTGTTATCCTATGATCATAAATAACTCTCTTGATGTAAGATATGCTGGTGAATTTCTCCCTGCTGCAACCCTTCCCCGCTCCCCCAGCAGTTTGATCATCCCATGGTCTGTAATTGACTAAGTTAAGGCGACTTGAAATTAATGTGACTTGATATTAGGGACTTGTGGGAAACTCGCATGAGAATTTGGGGTGAGCCAGGTCTCTTTAAAGCAGGGGGTGGGGAAGCTGTGCCCCCCAGATGTTGCTGGACCACAACTCCCATCATTCCTGACCGTTGGCCATGCCAGCTGGGATTGTTGAGAGCTAGGATTCAGTCACATCTGGATAGCTGCAGATTCCCAATACATGCTTCAAGGCTTTCACTGGTAGTCGTGGTGACCAAGTATGTATTTAGGGTAACTCGGCTTTATCAAATAAGCTGAGTTTCAGAGAATCTGGACACAGTTCTAGCCCTTGATCCACTGCATCTAGCAGTGAGGCCCTGAAGGAACATTCGACTCTTTGCTACGGCTGTGATATCTGTCCATCTTTGCTTCAGCAATTTAGGATGAACAGAAAAAGTAGAATTGGTCCAAGCAAGCAGCTGGACCTCCCAGCAGACCCCTCTGAAACACTGACGACCACCCGATTTCTCCAGGTACTGATGTGTGACCTGGGGGATGGTGACGGCTTTCTTCACTACTTGACTCGGTGAGTTACGCTTTTCTTAGCAGCCTGAACATTTACTGTTCTTTGTCGGGGTGTGTGTGTGTTGCTTCCTATCTGTGACCCAAGGGAGGATATTCACTTGTGGGGAATGTTTTCGCATCCTTGTGCAGACCAGCTGTCTCCTTATATTCCTGGTTTTATTGGCGGCATTTTTCCCAGTTCTCTGTTAAGCTAAGGGAGGCAGCTTTCCTGGTTTACCCTTCAGGTTTGAGGATCCTCAGAAGACCCATAACCTGTTGCTGTGGAGGAAGCTGAAGCTCTATGAGGCTGCATGGGCGCAGGAGGCAAGCCAGTCAGAAATTCACCATATTGCTTGGCAGATTTTTCAGACATTCATGGCGTCTTATGCGGGATGCAACACAGGTGAGCTGTCCAGGAATGTGGAGCAGCATTTGTTACCTCTGCTCTGTCATATGCCTCTGAGGTGGCACGAAGCTAGGTCTGTTAGGAGTGAGAACCCTTTGATCTGTTGAGGGCCACATTCCTTCAGAGTTTATCTCTTGGGGAACACATGCCAGGGATGGGAAAGACCACAGTTAAAATTGCACCTCTCTCTCTCTCTCTCTCTCTCTCTCTCTCTCTCTCTCACACACACACACACACACACACACACACACATGAAGGAATTTGAGAGGGGTGTTCCAGAGAGAGAAATAGCAGGCCTGCAGCATACACAGAGCTGTTAACACTGAGGCAGCATACACACCAAATCCTTAAAGCAAACACCTTTCCCCCAAATCCTGGGAATTGTAGTTTGTTAAGGGTGCTGGGAATTGTAGTACTGCATGGGGAAACTTGGTGTCTAAGTAATAGCTTGTCCAAAGAACTATCATAGCAAACCTGCACGTTGAAGATGGGGGTCTTAAGCCAACCTTGTGTTCTGCTTCTCCTTTCCTTGCAGGGCTTAGCGCCCTTATACTGGAATACATCCAGCATCTTGAGAGGATGCTTTCCTTTGGCAGTGAAGACCTGAAGCCTTCCACTTTTGAACCAGTGGTTCCCTATGTTCTGGCTGTTCTGGATGAGATGTGGCTCCATTATCTTCGCCATGAAGTCACAACTTTCCTTGAGTGAGTCCCAAGCTGTCCTACACTGTCCCACCATGTAAGATGGTGTAGTCTGAGTTTAAACCCAGTTGCTGCTTTATTGACAAAATAGGTTTTGAGAGTCAGTAAAGAAAACTTTAATTATCCTTTTGCCAGTCGGCCAGTGCTCTTTGCAAATAATTTTTAAGCTTTTGGTTGTAAAAGGGGGGAAATTGCCATCTAATTTTCTTTTTTGCAGATACTGTGTACCGGAATCTCACGACGATGACCAAAGTATCATGAGTGAAGGCGATAGAGTAAAACAGGAGGGAAATGAGAGGTAATACAGAATGCTGTGGAAACAAAGGAGCAACTTAGATGCTGAATTCTATTTAGTAGAGGCCTGGATTTACAAAAATGCTGTTCTGTTAGCCTCTGTGCCCTTACAATATCCTACTTCATAATCTAATGAATGAAAAATAATATCTGGGAAGAACAGGGTACCTAAAGTTTTTTGGGTACCAGCAAATGTCTGGCTTACCCCTGGGTCTGCTGATAACCTTTCCATTATGTGGAACTTAAAGTGTAGCAGAAGCTATTAACGGGGCGGTTTTCAACACAATCTAAAAGCATTTCGCTTAATGTGAATTCATTTTCAGTTTATATATCTGAGAGAGAGAGAGAGAGAGATTCTAGCCCTAATAGGTGTGGAGGAAAGGAAAGTTTGAAAACACATGTGCAAAATCTGTAAATGGAGTTTGGTCATGGCTACTGAAATGAAAGAGCAGGGTTTGCTTTCTCTGCCCAAGCTCTTATCTTCCTGTCCAGGTTGCTTTTTCAGGCCATCCCCACCCTTCTTTTGACCTTTCCCACCTCACTCAGTGCCCAGATGAAACCCAAACTACTGCAGTCCCTTTACATTTTGCAAAAATAAAATAAAATGCATCATTCCTTGGTGATCTGGGTGATTTATTCTTAAAATGGAACTTGCATTTCATTGCTACACCTCTGGAATATCGTTGCCCCCCCCCAAGTCCTCTGAGTGATAAATATTTATGGGCTAATACTTTGCGAGCAGGGAGGCTTCATATCGAACGATAACGTGAAGCTGTGATTCCCGAGTTCTGCAATGATCTTCATTTGTGTGGCCCTTCCTGCAGGATAAAGAAACGGAGGCAGAATGCTTGGCCACATCATGACCATAAAGGCAGAGGGAGACACAGGAAAAGAAGCAGGAAGAAGGCAGCCATGATGTCTCACTGCACAGGAAGTGCTGCTGAGCAAGAGGCAACTGGAGAGAGGTCACCAAGCCCTCAAGATGCGCCCACCCCTCAAAATGCACCCGACCTGCTCAGCAACACCGTTGTTTTAAATGTTTATAGGAAGGTGGCTCATAAAACTCAGGATGTGGCGCTGCAAAGGATTCTGGGACTGCTCCAGGAAGTGGAGGCTTGCCAGGATGCTGCCCAGAGTGAAAAGCGCCTGGGTTGTGTGACGAGGCTTCTAGAGATCTGGGACAAGCCAGGAGCTGTGGGATCAAGTGCCTGCTTCCCAGAAGAGCTGAAGATGAGGTTAAAGAAGGAGGTAGCTGGGGGAGGGATAAGTGACTCCAGCTGGAAGGAAATCCGGCTCTCTTTGCGTTCCTTTCTGGCCCCTGCTTTTGAGCAGTTCTGGGATGAAATGAGTGAGGGGCTGAGGAAGCATGGGATGCAGTCCTCCGAGATCCCAGAGGAGCGCTGGGAGAAGCTGGAACCGTTCCTACACTCCATTGCCGCCAAAGTGGCTCTCAGGCGTTTAAAGAGCCAGAAAGCTCGAGATGGATCAGCAGCCACAGCTCAACCTGTTAAAGGGGACAGGACCTCTTTCTGGCAGTCCCTAAGGAAAGCCGCAGAGGGCTGGCCCACCATCGAGATGCTCCATTTCCTCAAACACCTCCAGGGCCATGGCCCCCCTGTGCTGGAGAGCGGCCTCCATTTTCTACTGGAGGTGCAGAAATTCAAGAACGCCCACCACGCCTGGCCTGACATGGCTCTTCTGAAGAAGAAAGTCCATGTGATACGTGACTGTTTTCTCAACTCTCAGATTGAGCCCCGGCTACAGGTACAACACCTTTCCTGGGTAAGGGGCAGACAGCAAATGTGACAGGGATACATCCTGCGCAAGGGGCAAAGGCTCCCTATTTTATACCTCCAAACAACAGGCGTGGCAAGGGAGCAACACCTGCTGTATTTTTTCTCCCTTGAGCCTGCTCCTAAAGGAGTAAATTTGGGAAGGGAGGTGCATTCAAAGAGCTGTTTGACAGTGGACCAGACTTCCTAGGGAGCAGTGGTTTTTATTACATATTTTGTGTTTTTATCTTGCATTTTTATGCCGTGAACTGCCCTGCGATCTACCGATGAAGGATGATATACAAATTTAAATAAATAAATAAAAGCTAGTAGCTTTGGCAAACTAGTTGTTGGTGTTGCCTGCAGATCAGTAATTCCAAAATAATTAAATGCTACTATCAGTCTCCTGCCAGCAGAATTAATCTCAGCTTCTCACAGTCCCTGACTCATTGTATCTGGGGAATGCCTTGCCTGCGCGCAGCTGCTGCCTCTCAGCATTCGGGCAGAGAAACCAGATTATACCCAAACAGAGGCCAGAGTAGTACGAAAATGGTGTGAGTGAGAGCACACACGCTTGACCTCAAATTACTGCTTCTGCTTTATTCTGCTGTTGGAAGAGCCGTGGGCAGGGAGGATGTTTCCTGTGGGTTATCTTGGCATGCTCCCAAGTCCAGGATGCTGAATGTGTGCTTCCTGCCCTCCAGGTTGCAGTGGATACTCGGAGGCTGGGGAGAGCTATTCGGGCAGCTGAACAGGCTCTCCAGGAAGAGATTCCAGTACCGCCTCCAAGCTTGTTTGATGAGTTGAAGGATTCAGTCTTTAATATTCTGCTGCCATACTGGGCCGCTTTCCAAAAACACTGGCTCAAGCAGTCCCCTGCAAGCGCACAAAAAGCCCCAGGTGGGTTTACTTTCACTTGGAAAACAGAAGAAAGAAAATGGCACATGTCCATGCAGAGATCCTGCCATTGGTGTGTGTGCGCGCATTAACATAGGCAATCCCTGTGGCAAAACATGTTTTGCGCTCCTGGTTGATGTGTGGGGGAAATTAAGTGCAATTGTGTAGTTCTAATGCAAAATATACATAAAGTCCTAGGTTCAGTCTCTCTGCTGGAAGGATCTCACAAGTGAGAATGCTGGAAAAGACCTCCAACAGAGGCAGTAGATGGCTGGCTACTGCCAGGGTAAACGGGCCTGGTCTCGGTAGCCCGTTAGTCTAATTCAATCTTAGAAAAATGCTTCGGCCTCCTGGCAGAAAGTCTTTCAAGACGGTAAATGTGAAAATCAGCTCTGGTCAATTTCTGACTGATTTTATCTGAGGGCATAACGTGTTTCATGGAACAGGGAGTAAGGTTGTACAGTAAAAGCTCTCCAGAGTAACACCCATGTGTTTTACCAGTACATCACACTGAGAGAAGAAACAGCTTTGATAGGTCTTCCCTCTCTGCAGTGTTGAGAAATCAGCTCCTCCTCCAGAAGAGGCGGGCCATGCTTGAAAAGGTGCAAGGGCCACCAACACAGCTTCTTCAACTGCCACCGCTCCAGGGGCCCAGGGAAGTCCAGCAAAGCAGGGGTCAGGAGGGCTTTACTTACACTTTCTCCATCAGCAAAGGCCTCACGCTACAGGTCAGTATGCGGCATTGCACTCTTTACCGTTTCCTAGGATTCAGTGGCTTAGAATACTGGGAGAGGAGTGAAAGTACAAACCAATCTGGCAAGAGTGTTGGCTTTTCCCTGCTAAGTGATACAGGCTGATATTCCCGCAAGCTGCTGCTCATCTAAGAAAGTAGTTCCTCCTCTGCAGCCAACTCAGAGCATTGCAAGACAAAGCTATCACCAAATTTGGTACAGCCAAGAATTGTGATAGCAGCTCCTGGGTGTTGCACAAACAACCCTAACCAGCTGCCACCAACTTAAGTTTTTTCCCCATTTACACCCAGATGACTATGCCTGGGAGCCTGTTGCAAATGCAGTCTCTGGTTCGTTTCCACGCTCAAAGGATGCATACGCATGCCAACAGTAGATATAGTAATGGTAGTATTTGTTGCCTTTGGAATTAAACAGAATGTAACAGAATAGCCGAAAATGTAAACAGTTCATTGCAGGCTTTATATGTGTTTGACAGAATGGCATCAAAAGCAAGAAATTACAACAAGCAGTCTTGGAAGCAATGTATAGGACCACTTGCTGGAAAGCTTATCTGTGAATATGTCACTATTCAGGGAAGATTTTTAGTCCCATGAGCCTACACTAGAGAGCAGGAGCAGATGAATTGAGTTGATCATCTCTCAAAATGCCTACCCTCTGTTGTTGTTTTATATGGCATCATAACGTGGTCTTTTTGACAACATTTTTACATATGCAATAGTAGTACTCTATAATGGGTTGTAGTAGTTCTGTAGAGAATACCATGATCTGTAAATGACCCAACACTCAGCAAGTGTCTGAAAAACGTGGGATTCCTTGTTGTAGAGCAGGGATTATAGCAACGTCTGCAGGGTTCCCCATCCCGGTTGCAGGGAGTTGAATTAGCTTGTGTGTGTCAACTAGGTATTGCCCTGCAGTTGTGGCAGAAACATTGATGCACTCCAGTGTCACTTTAGGCTAGAAAATGATAATACACTAATACAGTAACTCCTTTTCTCCTTAGGGCATGAGCAAAGAACTCATGAGTCACAGCAAGACTAGCTCTTCTGGGTTTCAAAACAGGAAGAGATCAACTGGATTTCAGTTTCCCTCACTTCCCAATGTGCCGGTGCTCACTTGACCATGAAAGAAGGTACCACCATTATTCAGATCCCAAGACTTTGCATGAATGCTGAGTGGCAGCCAGAAGCCACTATGGAGCATTTTAGAATGATTTCTCCCCCAAAAAGCTAGCTTGATGTAACAGAGGGGCAGCCAAGAGCCAAGAGGGGCAGCCAAGAGGTTGCACAGATGAGAACATGTATGTGTTGCATCCACACATGTACTCCTTGCTGTTGGCCAGGATTATGTAACAGAAAATGTAACACTTGGAGACAGTTGAAAATGGGACAAAATAAAGATTAAGTAGCAGCAATAGGCTTCATTTTAATTATGCAATTAACAGTTTGTTGGTCACAAAACTTTTCCCCCCCTATTAGGTCAAAAGGTTACTATGCATTTTGGGGAAATTATAGTAAGATTCAGAATCTCAAAGATGACTTTTGATGATGAAAGTTATCTAGGCAATATAGAAACAATGATTTGTGTAAAGTAGATTTCCTTTGTATATTGACAGAATTTCCTGATCGAAAGATCTGCATAAATAAAACAGCACAGGGCTGAAACCTCTGTTGCTAGACTGCTGAAGAAACATCCATGCACAATATGGTAGCCTAACACTATGTTGGAATCAGCTCCATTGAACTTATAGGCCTTGGTCTCCTGGGAAAAAGAGCTCCCATCTTTCCTCATCCCAAAGTGAATCACAAGTGTGCCTCTCTGCTATTCATTATCATAATGGCAATACTGTAGTTACTTTCCTCTCACCAGGGTGCCCTCAGCTCCATTGATGGTCAGATTCATTATGTCACTGTCTGCTACCTTCCTCTGCATTTATGGGACAGCCTTGTTCCTCTCACACCATTATCTGCAAATGCAATAATAATGTTTCATGAAGGACCAGATGGGCAAGTCCAGACTCTTCTGCCACCTCAATATTGCAAAAGAAGCTGCAGTCCAAGACAGATCTACTGTTATGATACCACAACAGGTGCTGCTTAGCCACTGTAGACAGATCTTGTTAGCAATCGCAGCCAAGCAACTGTCCCATTTCGGTGTTCTTGCACGGACACGTTGACCTTGCAAGCAGGAATCAGAGTTTGCTCTTTGCATATTCCAGAGCTGCTGTCAGAACTCCTTGCAAGTCACTGGTTGTCCCGCTGCCCCTGGCTACAACTCCAGAACCACCTGCCTTGCCTCCCATTTGAGTGCAGACAGCCAGGGCCCAGTCAGCAGCAGAAAACACCGGCAAGGAACTCTGGGGAAGAAGACCAAAAAATGGAAAAATTAGCTGAACTGCCAGGAATGGCCCAGTAGAGCAAATATGTAGGCAACTTGGTGTTAGTCAGTCCGATTCTGGACTTTTGTTACTCAAAGCTGATAGACTGGCAACATTACAGGTGCAAAACCTTACATTCACAGAATGTGCATATTATGCACTCTTAATGGATTCACTGCACACATGCAGAACCTGTAACTGATACCGGAGGAGAAGTTTGGATTTGATATCCTGCTTTATCACTACCCTAAGGAGTCTCAAAGCGGCTAACATTCTCCTTTCCCTTCCTCCCCCACAACAAACACTCTGTGAGGTGAGTGGGGCTGAGAGACTTCAGAGAAGTGTGACTAGCCCAAGGTCACCCAGCAGCTGCATGTGGAGGAGCGGAGACGCGAACCAGGTTCACCAGATTACAAGTCCACCACTCTTAACCACTACACCACACTGGCTCTTAGATTTCCTTAAAGTTCAGAGCATGGGGTTTAAATGTCCTCTGCCATGGCTATGATTTCTTGCACCTCTATGGTTGTTATTCCAACCTCTAGCCTCCTTTTTGCAATTTCTCCCATTTAGGCTGAGTACAGAATTTGTTTTTCCTTGGTTGTGAAACCTTATCTAGACCCAGTCAAGGAAAGACCATCAAGCAGTGGGCTTTGTGTTTTCTATTTATTCAAACTGTTATGGCAATGAAAATTTGCAATGGTTTTTCCACCACTTAATGAAAGCACAAGCGCCAAAATTCAAAACTTATGTTCTACAATAGGAAACAGTTACTGTATGAGGCTCCTGCATTCTATGTTCCAGAGAACAGTGCCAGCTATCAGCCAAGGGACAGGATCCTGCTTACCTTGGATACCTGGCAGGCACAGAACACCTGGCCAGAAGCTTGTGGACTTAGCAACATCACTGAGGACCCTGGTACCTTGTCACATAACTGGTTGACCACTTTCATCAGGACCTAGAAAGAGCATAAGTTAAAATAAAATCCCTTGTGTTTGCTACACTGAAATGCTCCCTCAAAGACCTGCAATGTTATATATACAATTTTGATTAAGAAAGTTAAGCACATGAAAAACCACTGGAATTTTAAAGTGTATTGTGATGTTCTGAAGTGTTTCTGGTACACTTTGGGCAGCCTATGGGGAACTGGATGATAACAGATGCAAAAAAGGAACTTGTACAGTGGTACCTCAGGTTACAGGTGCTTCAGGTTACAGACTCCGCTAACCCAGAAATAGTACCTCGGGTTAAGAACTTTGCTTCAGGATGAGAACAGAAATCGCGCAGCAGGCCCCATTAGCTAAAGTGGTACCTCAGGTTAAGAACAGTTTCAGGTTAAGAACGGACCTCCAGAACAAATTAAGTTCTTAACCCAAGGTACCACTGTACTGGTTATGGGGAAAGAAAGAAAGAAAGAAAGAGGGAAATTCTCTTCAACAAAAATCTTCAGAGCATGCCAGCAAGCCCACCCTCAACGGATGCCCAATTTGCTGAGGAGCTCAAGGTTTACCTTCTCTCTGGCCTTCCAAAATCCTTACAGTATCATCAGCTGTGAGAGCTGAGCTCAAGGAATGATCTGCCACAACAGGACAAGTTGGACTTGCTCACAGGTAGCTAATGCAGCTTGGCCCTTGTTGCCTGTTACCCTTGCTTTCCAAAAGAAATGCACAACTGGTAGAAACTTACTGAGGGCGACTCAACAGGGATGGTATCTATGATGACTGGCTGGTTGGAATACTTTGCTAGCAGGTCATCTGCTTTCTCTGCAGCCTGGAAAAAGGGGGTGGGGGAATGCAGTCAGCAGTGCACTATGTAGCAGACATAAAATTTGCGCCATAGGGGAGAAAATGCTTCCAAATGCACATCCACATCTCTGCCAAGCACCATTTTAAAAAATGATGCCCAGGGGACATGTTTGTTTTACCCACAGGAGCCATTCCTAGCAACCATTTACCTAGGTATTTTAAGGGGGATGGGGCAGGAAGATTTAGCACCCATTTACACCTTGGCTTCTTTAATGAAGCTACACTTATTGGACGAAAACCATTGCCAAGTTTGGTAAGGACTGCTCTTCTCTTTCAATACGGAGCTTATTTAGGAATCTTCCTAAAATTTTAATGTTGCTCCTTTTAATGAGTACTATCTAACCATTCTGGCTGGGAAGTTAGATTTGAAACAGGCAGGCAGTATACGTAAGAAATTTCAGTGTCCAGGGGTTAGAGGAACCAACTCTGCTCTTTCTGCTTCAGGCTCATGGCACGCCCAGCTGCCATTTCACCACAGCTTTCTTTCCTCTCAAGAGAGCAAGCTTCCATTCTGAAAGAGCATCAGATTTGGCAGAATCTCCAATATCAGAACAGATGTAAAACAGTCAACTTAAGCAAAAAATTTCAAGTTTATATAAATGTGGGAAATTTTTTTGCATAATTTGTTTGCAAAAAAATTGAATTGAGTTTTCTTAGTGCAAATGTTAGGCTTTTTTGATACAAAAGAGTGAAGAGTACACAGCAAGCCGCGTGCCAGACTCTCTGTTCATTTCTCCCTGACACGCACACCCTGCCTCTCAACTGTGGCAAAGGGAAGGCCAACCAGCTCTAGGAAGCTTCCTTCCTTCATGTATGCCAGAAAGAGCACTCGGTTCTTCAGAGCTCGAGGGGAACTGTGCTTGGGAGCCATTCATCAGAGAGTGGACTAAGGTTGCTTTAAAAGCAATTGATTTAGAACACTAGATAACAGAGCTGCTTAGAGTTCTTTTTCTTTACAGAAAAGTTTGGTAATAAATTCACTCCTTTGAAAAGGACAAGCTTCCCATACTTCTGTCATGCCTGCAGATTACAAGGCTGATCTGCTGCTGGATTCTTACCAGTCTGATTTCCAGTTTTCTAACTGCTGTGTTGGCTGTTCGCTGCAGAGTTTTAAGAGTGGCCTGCAGCTCTCTTTTCTGCCACTGAGGTATTGTGGTGCTGTCCACGATCTGCAAAACAAATTGGCTCTGTTACCTGTGATTGCGCGGGGGGCGGGGATGAAAAGATGCTCCAGGGATGCAACTGAAGAGAGGAATTTTGACTCCTATGACCAGAAGAATGAAGCCTGTTTCCTAGCAAAAGAGCCTCAATTACAACTAGCCCTTTGGATGTGATGGACTTGCATGCAAAGTATGAACCATGTAGTGTATTGCAGTGGTGTCAACTGCTTCTGCCAGAGCTCTCCAATACTGGAGCTGTGCTCCTGTTCCTGGTCATTATTTTATTTAAAAATTAAGGGAAGGGAGAATAGGACAATGGCAGAAGTCCCTTAGACGGAAGAAGAGGAGACGAGGAGGAGGAAGAAGAAAAGACCATGAAAGTTGCATGCGATTTTTAGGTAGCACTATATACTTCTGATTTTATCAAATATTAACCCCAATATCTCCCCAAAATGCTGGTGCTATAAAAAACATAAGGGCACATTGGTGGTGGGAGTATTATTCAGTGACAGCTATGGTGTTCCTAGAAATTAAATTTAATATAACAAAACAAGATTATTATTTTTAACTACATTTATATACCACCATTCTCATAGAATTGTTGAAAAATTGACTAAAAATAAAAGTGCACTAGAGGATAAACAAAGATTCATATGCAACTACTTGGCAAAAATTATTTTGTATATAAATGATGGTAGCAATGTTCAAATGACTCCTGTGAAATACGATACTATTTGGAATCCTTACTAAGTTTTCAGCTTCAAGTGAGAATTTCGTAAGACCTTGAGGACAGTATTTTAATATACTTTTTCAAGCAAATATTTTTTAAGAAAAAGAATATTACTACCCTCCAGCATAAATAACTATTGTTTTCCCCCCACAGGGATTGTGAATGAAATGATCCAAATGTGTATTTTTTTGGGTGGTGGTGGTGCTGTATTTAGTTTTCATTCAATTGTGTGTTTTTTCTTTATTTTTTATTATGTCACTGCATTATATGCTCTTGATTAAATAAAAAGAAATACCAATTAAAAAAACAACAACCCAAAACCCAAAGTGGAGGATAGGCAGTGTTTTATTTCTATTGCACAGGGCCACGCAGATGGACTTTTGAGGGAGGGAGTTGATAAGACCTCAGCAGATTCTTCATTACAGGTTAAATTATCAAAGCACCCAGAGACCTCACCCTCTATGCCATGAAACACAGGGCACTTCAACCAGACTGATATGGTCGCTAGAAGGTGAAATAAAAGCCTCTTCAGGGAAAGTTAGCCATTATTTCAACTTCAGCAGGAATCACAGAACGAGGAACGAGCAGGGAAACACGTCTTCAAGAAGCATTCGGAAACCTTTCTTGGGCCCTTGTTGTGGGGAGGGAGAAAGGACTCACAATAGTAAGCTGGCCAACTTCTTTGGAGAGTCTCTGGGCCTCGTCGATCATGGTTCCTCCCAGTTTCACTCGCACTGTGAGGGAGTCCACTTCCTTAGCCAAAGCCTGGCCAGCTTCCCGAGCCTAAGAGAGTAATAAAAATGTCTGACCCCTTTCGGCAGAAACCATACAAAGGGCAAGAGGTTGTGCTTGCAATTCAAAGGGCGTAACCATTTTCAGTCACAAGCCTGTTGGGAGTTTATTTCAGGGGCTAGAGCCCTGGGCATTGTGCAATTACTAGATTAGGTTTATGTGACTGCTAATTAACTTTGTTGAGATAGAGATAGTATCTCAAATTATGCTGGATATTTGTCACCACTGATACATGCTGGCTCAGAAACCAAGCGAAAAATAGGGAGGCAGATCCTTTTCAGAAAGTGCTCAGTGACAGAGTGAAATTAGAGTTATTTCCCCCCACACCAATTTGCCTTTGGGATTATTTGATATACCACACAGGGAACACACAATCCCCTCAGAAATTGTAGCCTATGGCAAGAGAAAGACAAGAGCCTTCTGTGAAGTCAGTCTACTGGTCCATCTAGCTCAGTACTGACTGACCCTGACTGGCAGCAGCTCTTCAGGGTTTCAGGCAGGGGTCTCCTCCAGCCCTACCTGGAAGGACCAGGGATTGAACATGGGACCTTCTGCATGCAAGTGTGCACTCTGCTGCTGAGCTATGGTCTTTCGTTGCTGAGAGCCACCCAGAGAACATGGTTATAGGAAATATATGGTTTTAGGGAGGACACGGCTATAGGGAGCCATGACACACAGACACACACCCCTCCCTATCCAGGCAAGCAAGAGGGATGACTTCAGTTCAAGGACACATTCCAGCTAGGCAAAAGCACTGAAGGAAGGGGTAGAGAGCAAGGGCAGCGAGGAGTCTGGTCTGGGAAGAGTCCCAAGGGTTTCCTCAACTGTTTTAAACAAGTAGATAATTATTTGTGGCATTCATTCCACAAATTGTGGTTTTGCACAAAGATAAAAGGCACACGGGATGGATTAAAAAAAGAGAGAGGAGCCCTGATGAGTCTATTTGTTTTACTGATCTGCTCTTCATCTGATCGGTTCCTATCATAATGAGAAGCTGATCTCATTCCTTCTCGCCTGCTAGGCTCCATGCGACCGAAAGATGGAAGGGAGCCAATCCACTTTCTCCAGCTCTGGAGTAAGCTAGTATTTCAAAGACCTTGATGGTGCCACCAAATTAGAAAGTCAGAGGTCAAGAGAAAGTCAACTACTTCTAGACGAGGTTTCCGGTTATACAGTATGCCCATCGACGCTCCTCAGCTAAAAGCCAGGTCCTTTTTAACAAATGAAAAGAAAAAGCTTGGGCTGTCACAAATTTCTGCCAGACTTTTTATGTATATTCAAAGCAGAAGATCAAAAGAGTCCAGAATAGCCAACTGTGTGAACAGGCCTAGCAGCTGCTGGAGCAGCTTCTTGCTGGAAACCACGGGAGGGGAGGGTGCATTTCTGCTCATGTTCTGCTTGCATCCGGCTGGCCACAGTGAGAACAGGATTCTGGATTAGATGGGCCATTGGCCTGATCCAGCACTCTTATGTCCTTACTTAGGAAGCACCCTAAACAGCTTGATCTTTACCACTCAAGTATGCAGTACTGTTTTCTGAATGATTTGTGTGCTACATCTGGGACAGGGATGGGGAACCTGTGGCCCTCCAGATGCCGAATGGGGGGGACGACTCCATTTCTTATGAGCCTCAGTTCATGTCAGGGAAGATGGTTGTCATAATCCAGCGACACTTGGGGGCAAGGGGAGAAGCTCCACTCCCCTGACCTAGGAACAGTACGCAAATAGCATTCTACATCAAAACGGTTGTCCGAATCTGCTTGGACCAACAGAAGAATTAAGCTCCAGTTGCAGGAAATCAGTAGCTGTAAGAGCAGAGCAAGCACATAATTGCCTACTCTGGCTTCTCGCTGCAAGATGTGCTTTGAGTTATCGCCGTAGCTGCTTCCATCTGCTTAGCAAACACAAGCCTGAATGAGAACAGCTCCCTTCAGAGATAAACATAAAAGGGAGCTGCAGGTGAACATGAACCACTGACACAAAGCTGCCTCGGGTCAGCGCTTTCAGTAATCTAGGCCAGCCTGCCCTGAAGCTTTCTCTCCTCCGTGGCAGGCTGAACCTTGTCAAAAATGTAACAGTGGAGGAGATGACTAGACAAGCAGCACAAGTGCCAGAGCAAAAATACAAATCTTGGGAATAATGTAATCTTTTGCCACCAACAGCCAAGGGGAAGGCAGAAGACAATGCTGCTTGGCCACCTAGCAGGCACCTAAGTTAACGGGGCCTTTTTGCTCTGAAGCCGCCAGATGCGGTTAGTGGTCAGCAAGAGCCAGAGCAAAAAAGAAATGACCACCCAAGTTTGAGGGGGTGGGGAAAGAGAGAGAAGAGGGGTCAAGGGAATTGAAGTAAGAGAAGGACAAGGAGTTATTAGTCAAAAGCTAGCTAATGTGGAATGCTATGACCCTGTTTCAAAAAGGAAGTGGAGTACTACGAAAAGCAGTGGTAGAAAAGGATGTTGAAAGAGCTCTGTTTGTGTCTCACAATGTGCTTGCTCAGTCTTGGAAGACATCTCCTTAATGGTCAGAGCCAGAGAGAGACCTGTATGAAGCTTCCACTAATCAGGCAGAGAAGCTTCTATGGCCTGCAGAGCTCCTTGTTTGCTTATACACTCTCTCTGTGGTCTACCCTACTCGCCACCCATACAGATTGACCCCACTTCCTTTTACAATCACAGCCTCTTCACAATGAATGATAACACAAAGGAGGCGAACTTGTTCGATTGATTGATTCTGAGTTGCTGAATTTGGAGATGGCGAGGGTGAAGCAAGGGCATAAGGTTCTGGCATTCCTGCCGTGAGATCAGGGGTGAAGGCCAACCAGTGCATCTGCTTGTGAGCAGCAGAACAGAGGCAACTGGTGAAAAATAATTGCAAGTGTTTGTGATTGTGGCAGGCAGGCGGGTGAAGCACTCTAGGAGCCCTCTAAAGATCATGCAGTGAAGCAGAGCAAAACAGCAGCAGACAACCTGTGCACATCTGCAACATCAGACAAAAGCAATCCAGCCTTACTTGCTTGGCTTGCTCTCTGGTCACTGCAACAATATGGCTGATTCCTTTAACCAGCTGCCGCTCAGAAACGATAGTGAAGTCTTGTACATCTCCTATCTGCAGAAGGTGCCTAGACAGCAGAAACAAATGGCAGGTGTCAGCATTGCCATCAAATTCCCTTTTTTATTTTGGAAAGGGGTCATAAGTCGATGGAAGAGTACAAGTGTTGTGTACGTAAAGGTTTCAGAGTGAACCCCTACCATCTCTCCCGTTAAAAAGAATTCCTGGTAACAGGTGGGAAAGACCTTCAGGAGACACTGTCAGTCAAGGAAGTCCGTAGTGTGCTGAAGAGAGAGCATATCCTGGCATCTCACACCAGCTGTTTACTACATGCAATGTCACAATTGTGCTCTTTGGATTTCAAATGCTTGCAAGAAACGTACATACTTTATGCTCTCTGATACTCAAGTAATTCATTTCCTGGAAATGATAAATAGCCAAGGTGAAAGCAAGAAAAAATATAATTCTGCATTTCAACAGCGCTTTTAACAATCAGCCCCTTTGCCAATATAGCAAGAATGAATCACCTTCATGTTACTAATGAAGCTACAAAGAAATGGGAAGTGGTTGACCCACCAGAATGCATTTAGTAACTGCTCGGTATGGTTCTTTTAATCAACAAACAATATTAGCTGCTTATAAGGTGGTCAAAAATCGTATGTAAAACTGAACAAAAGAATGCACGAAATAAGGTTATAATTTGCTGAAAAATTTTATTGTAAAGAACGCAAGGTGAGGGGGACGGGGGGAAGTCCGGTTGGTTATGGAAAAATGCTTTGAAAAGATGATTTTCTTCTTTTTCTTTCTTTTTTCTGTTATTTCTTTGTATATCTGACCTTGTATTTCTATCTGGAAAAATGCAATAAAAAATATTATAAAAAAAAAAAAAATCGTATGTAAAACTGTCTCAAAGCAATGATGCAGACGCTGGCCTTCCCCTTGGGCCTGAGGACAGCTATGATTAAGGAAGGGGAAAGAGAGCCAGTTCAGAGGTACCCAGTAGAGGGTTGCTGAAAAAGGTTTCTCTTATGTGAGAGAAACTAAGAGGAAGGATGACACTTACGTTCCACAGCAGAGCTCCACGGAGGTGGACGTGGCATCTTTAGACTGCGCAGCCAGCACTCTTTCCACTGGAACCCCTATGGATACTACTCGCACTAGATCTGGGTACACCTGAAAGAGAGGAAGGAAGGAAGGAAGGCTGGATTATCTGCAGAGTTATAAGGCTGTGGCAAACTAAACCAAAAGAATCAGCTACATACTGCAGCCTGGTATGGAAGACAGAGGTGGCCAGGGTATAGCACACAGGCTGGAAGAGGAAGGATGGAGTGTGCTGCCTCTCCTAACATAAAAAAAGGCTGCTAGAATCAGGCCAATGGCCAATCTAGTACAGCATCCTGCTCTCTCAGCAACCAACCAGATGCCTGTTGGAAGTTCACAACCAGAAGCACGGGAGTGCTCTGCCAACCTGCAATTCAAAGCAAGTGGAGATAGAACATAGCCACTCTGACTACTAATGTGGAGGTACGGCTCGTAGTCACAGTGGCCATGTTCTATCTCCAGTTGCTTGGAATTGCAGGCGGACAGAGGACAGCTGTCGAATCCTCTTTTACAGCCATCCAAGTTGGCGGCCATCACTGTCTCCTATGGGAGCGAGTTCCACAGTGAATGACGACGTTCTTTCACCTGTCCTGAATCTTCCAACCGTTAACTTCATTGGCTGTCCATGAGTTCTAGTGTTAGGATAGAGGGGAAAAACCTCCTCTCTGCCCACTTTCTCCATGGCATGCATCATTTCACGAACTTCTATCATGTCGCCTCTTACTCGCTTTTCCTCTAAACTCAAATGGTTGCAGTACTGCAACCTTTCCTCATAGGGGGATTTCTCCATCCCCTTGATCACTTGGGTTGTGCTTTTCTGAACCTTCTTCCAACCCTGCAGTATCCTTTTTGAGGAGAAGTGACCAGAATTGTACACAGTATCGTAAGTGTGGCTGCCCCGTAGATTTGTGTAACAGCGTTATGATATTGGCAGTTTTATTTTCAGTTCCTTTCCTAATGACCCCTAGCGTGGAATTTGCCCTTTTCACAGCTGAAGCACACTGAGTCAAGCAGAGAAACCAAGTGGATTGTGGGAGGAGGGAAGCCCCTTCCACCAGCCTCCAGAAGTCTAATAAATCATTTTTGCAGGCTAGTTTGTGGGGTTATTTACAAGGCTAGGATACAGCACCGCAAAAGCTGCATAAAGGTTGTAAACTGATGCCAGATTGTGCTCTTATGTGAAGAAGTGCTTACGACTGGACCCTACTGCTGGGCAGTTTCCCTGGGTGACACCAATTGTCACCCCACCAGCTGCATGGTTGCCACTGGTCACTGTCCTCCCCGACTTACTTCATTTAGTTTCCGGAGTCCTTGCACAGCACTTGCCAGCTTGATGGGGGCTTCTCCGGTATAGACCACCTCATTCCTTTTGATCACCTCCTGGATCACACTTTCTACGTCTAGCAGCTGCTGTATCGTTATGGGAGTCTGGTGAAGCAGGTGATATTTTCATCAGAATGATGCAATGTTACGCGACATGAAGAATTAAGTACTGTAAGATGGCTAGAAGTCCAGAGGAATAGGTGTCTGGTCTCCAGGGTTCTATTTTGGGTCATACTTTTATGTTTCAATTTCCCCATCTACAAAATAGAGTTCTCAATGCTGATGTCCTGAACCACAGTTTTTTGAATACTCATAATCATCATAGGCTAAGAAAAATATTGGAACTTAAATCAGTTCCTTTATTTGCTTTAGTAAAAGCACAGAGCTTCCATGTGAGCAGTTAAGGTTGGGCGAAGTCTACTTCTCTGTGGATAATCAGATATTGGATTATTGCGTTCACTGCAGGCTGAGACCCTATTCTGCAGTTCCAGACTCTAAAATTAGATCCTGTGAACCACTCTTCCTCACTCTCTCCAGCTCTGTGGCTCACACAACAGTCTCTTCCACTTGGACTCATATGGAAACAGTCAAGCAAGCAAATGCAGTAACAAGCCCCTTTCTCCGTTTGTTAATTTACCACAAAGGGACACATGGGTCAGAATTACCAGCAGTTACATGTTCCTCCACCAAGGGAAGCACATTCTGGGCTGTCAGTAGTTTTAAAGGATCCTATTCACCATGGAGCTCTTCTGATAATTTTACCATAGCCAGGCTCAAAGTAGCCTGGGGCTCATAGAACACAGAGCAACAATCAGTCCAGTCCTAAAGCAGTAGTGGCCGGACTCCAGAATTGCGAGAAGAGAGGAAGTGCTGGGCTGATGCCTGCAGCCCAACTTCCCAGATGAGCCACACGCCCCATTGCCCTCACTGCTCTAATGTGAGCAATTTGGAGACCCCAGTAGTCACCTTGGTGCTGATGGAAAATCGCAGATACTCAGCAGTCACATGGGACCCCTGCTGCTCCGCACCCTCTCCCAAGACCTGGCGAAGCGCAAAATTTAGCAGGTGGGTGGCTGTGTGGTTTGTCATGCAGGCCAACCTCTGGGCCTGAAAGCAAACAAAAACACAATGTTTGGGGTGAGAAAGGAGTACTGGTGGACATTGCCTTGTTTTCCTGGGCAGGGGAAGAAGAATAGGAAGATCCAGGGTTGGGGGACGGGGGAGAAAAGGAGGACACAATGAATGCATAGCACTAGCAGACTGAACTTACAAATTCATAAATCATGGTGCTTTATATTAAGTCAGACCTTGGCTATTCTGGCTGGCTCTTAGGCGGGGTTTTTCGCCAGTCCCAGTAGTTGAGATCGGTTGTAATTGGAGACTGCAGAGACTGAACCCAAGACCTCCTGCATGCACAGCATGTTGTCTGTCCATGAGCTGTGTGCCCATCTCCACCACCACCAAGATTTGGACACAGCTGTATGCAAGGGGACAGTGCCTGCACCTATAGTGAAGTCCCACCTGAGAACGAACTACCTTGCTGGCTATGGAAAGGTAGGGGAGGGAGAGAGTCAGTCTTCTAGAGTACAGCCAAAGAAAACCGAGTCCTTGTTATATCCGCAACACTTGTTTCCCATTAAATTCACTAGATAAGCAGCAATTAATTAAACCCCCTGATAGCCCAAACACCAGCCATGGCTGGTTTAACACCCCACCACCTGAGCTAAATAACAAAAGCAAGCTTGGCTTAAAACAGCCTAAAAGATTCTGCATTAACATATGGGAAATCCCCGGTATGACATTTCACTTCTGCTACAGAGCTTATTCCTCAAAAGAGACTATAAATAGTAACCTCCCTCAAAGGAAACAAGGATCAAAACCACTTTACCTATTAGAAGTAAATGATTCATGAGAAAGATTTCATTGTTTTGGAAGAACTAAGTTACAGTACATTAAACTCCCCCCCCCCCCCAGCTAGCAATCCAGCATACAAGCCCACTTTGAAGCATTTAACAGAACTGCTGGATTAATTAATAGTCCAATCCCATGCATGTTTGCTTCAAAGCAAAGTCCATCCAATTCTCCCTAGTAAATGTGCCTAGGATTGCTGCTGGAACTCTGGCGTCTATTGTGCTGGGAACAAGGAACACTTCCACTGAGAAATCCATTTTTGCATATCACCCATTTTAGTGGGGTGTGCAAAGGAGAATTCTTGGGGATCTCTCTTCCTGGATTTCTTAGATGCAAATTAAGCTGCAACATCTATGTTTGTTAAGAATTGTAAGAGAGAGAAAGTGTGATCAGAGGTAAAATTCTGCATCTTCTGTATCTTGGTCCCCCTAATCCTCTCTCTATTTTCTGCACTACTTTCCTACCCAATATGATCTGCTTACATGGCATGTGTGCCAGTCATGATGCACAGCACAGAACCAGAAACTCTCTGCCATCTCCTGGCAATGACAATTACCTCATCCACAAAAAGCTGCACTTGCTCCCCGACCTTCAGGGTTTCAGAGACAATCACTTCATGTACCACATAGCCACCGGATACTTGTACAGATACCACAGGGAAAAGCATGTCCTCAAAAGGAGAAACAAGACAAATGGGAGAGTTAGCACAAATTCTCAATTCTCTTCCCAGTCTGGGTTTTCCAGAGGAATAAAGGGAACTCAGGTCACTCTGGCAGGCTTGTAAAAAATATAGCAGTCTCTTAAATTAACCTCCGGGACAAACACAAAACGAGCTGCAGAAGAGACAGGCTTGCCTGTGCTCAGCGTTAATGCTACAACAACAGTCTGTGTGTCTCAAGTTCCTCACCCCCCCCACCTCCCAAGGAGCTCACATGACCAATGAATTCTCTAGCATTTTTCCCAGCAGTGAGGATTTGCAGCAACCTCAAATGGCCCGTGCTCAAGAGTGATTTGCTCGGCTCACTCAGGGATGATATCAATGAATGTGTAGGGGAATTCCAGTCAACCCTCCATGAGAGCAGGATCATCTACAACAAAGAGCTGGCTTAGGGAACAGAGGAAATATTTCACTCAGCTATTGAAGTGGTGACGGTGCATTAACCTAGCTACAAAGTAAGAGCATCGGAATTCCCTTAGAGCACTGCTATCAAACAATAGCTTAACCCTCTTCCTTTCCTATAGCTCACACAGTGCCTGAGACACACAGAAGAAAGCCTAGGCAAAGACAAGATGCTGCTCAGTGACTGGAGCCAGGGCACAGAGTCCTCTTCAGGGAGGTCATGCCCAGCCTAACAGAACAGGCAGGAGGCTCAGGAGGCACCTGTTTCAGGCCTGGCCAGTGAAGAGCCTTACCTGCTGTGCTGCATGCAGCATGTAGCCTTGGTCAGGTGCCTGGCCGCCCTGCTCAGCATAGAAGCAGGTTCTGTCTAGAAGGACCCCACACTGTTGCCCTCTGCCAACTTCCTTTTGGAAAGACCCATCTCTGTACAGCATCAGGACAGTGGCTTGACAAGGCCGGAAAACTGCAAAGAGGTAAAAGAAAATCACACCCCATCCTTCTCCTAGGTAGACAATGCGCTTGGGCCATCTGGAACCCAAAACGGCCAGCCAATGCACTGCCCTTAACGTATTTATAGATTCAACTGCAGAATATGCAGGAAAGCTCCCAGTTATTTTAGAGTCAGGTACTTCACTGTAGGAGGATAAAAGAACACAGAGCCCCTAGGAGATATTCCTTGGAAACCCAAACTGCTATTCCACCAATCCGAATTCAGGGTGACTGAAGCTCATCCATGTTGTGCTACACAGGAATTCAGAACACAGCCTTAGTATGACTTGTTATATTTGTTCATCTGCCTCAGGACTTCCTATGACTGGCAGTGGCCCTCGAGGGTCTGAGGCAAAGGTCTTTCACATCTCCTGTTACTCAGTCCTTTTGTACCTGGAACACCTTCAAAGTGCAGCGTGATGGCAGAGACAATACCTTAGTACCTTGCCCTCCACCCCAAAGCTTTGGCGGAGAGGTTTTAGGCTCATTTACATCATGTTCTGCTTGGGAGACACTCTGAGATTTGAGCAACTTTGAAACTCCATGCGCCCACCAGAAACAGAACCTCACCCGTCTCCTATTGTGGGAGGACAGAGTCCTGGCAACCTCAAAACAGGTACATCCCTTATACAGGACAGTCAAAAACGTTATTACAATCATCTGTAACAAGAAAGCCCCTAAATAAATCTATTGGACTGTACAACTGCACTGAGAACGGCACTGAGAACGGCAGCTGTGGTCAACCTGACAGGCAATACTCTCATTGTCTTTCTCCACAAACAGCCCTTGGCTGAGTTTTGAAACCACTGCCACAGATCAGTTGTTAAGGATCATTCTGCCTTAAGCCAAGCAATTATTTAACAATGAGAGGCAACAGCGATGAGACAAACGTAAATGGATTATGCAAACCCATTCAGGCTTTACTCTTCTGTGGCAGTGATTTCTAAACCCACTTTGCGTTATGTATGAAACAGTGACACCTTGAGGCCTGCTGCAGTAATGGCAAACACCCAGCTAGCATCAACCAAAGCCGTTTTTTCCCCCTGCCAGAAAGAAACCTGCTTAAATTGCTGTCCATCAATGGAAACACTCTGCTTTATATTGTCCGACAGATTTGTATCTAGCTCAGTTTGGCAGGAGTTTAACACTCAGATACAGCAACCTATTATCTAATAGCACTCCCTGACGTGCCGCTTTTGCTGCTATGGACACAAACCAAGCAGCAGCAGGATGGCAGCGTGAGTGTATATTTTAACCCTAATGGTCATGGCCACTGTTTGCTACTCCATGCATATACTAAACCTAATACACACTTATCGCCACGTTACACTATGCACTTTCCCCCTAAAGTGAGCTAGGAGTGGCCAACCAATGTGGTGCTCTCCAGATGTTAGACTACAACTCCCATCACTCCTTTTCACAGGCCTCGCTGTCTGGGGCTGATGGGAGTTGGGGTCCAACAACATCTGGAGGGTACTATGCTGGCTACCCCTGGACAAAAGTGTTGAACCACGACCTGGGACACCGGTGTTCAAATCCCCATTCAGCCATGAAGCTCACTGGGAAACCTTGGCAGCGGGATGCAAATGTACTCAATAAAGTGCCCACAAATCTCCCTGCTGGAAAATATGTGAAAACCGGCTTTTTCAGAGACTGGTTGCCACTTTGCTCTGCTTTCTAATAAGGGATACTGGAGGACTATAACGCTTTAAACAACGGCTAACATTTACCCAACAGTCATAGATTTAGTATGTTGTGTTCATACTTTTTGATACTCAGGAAGAACAGACTTCAGCATCTTCACCATCCTTACCTTGATAATATAATTATTGCATATTTTCTTACTAGCATGTAAATTGCTTCCCTAACAGACAGGAAACGGCACAGAACACATATATGTACGATACACATGAACCAGCAGCCTGCTAACTTTACAGCAGATTATGGGTATTACTTTGGTGAGCTGTGGGAGCCTAAGCAGTTTCTGTTTGGCCATAGGAAGAGGTCGACTTTAGTTTATAAAGCAGACACAGTATGTTCTCCACACAACAAATTAACAAATATGCCAGACATATATAAGGTGAGAAGTTTCTTGGATACAAATCTGAAACCCCCATTTCTCCAGAGCGCTTTTTCATACACCTTGTTCAAGCACGGTTAGACCTTACCATATCTGCCATCCTGCCCAAGTTCATAGGCAAACTTTGGAGAGTCGTCAGTAGCAGGCACCCCATCCTGCCTCAACTTGGCCAATGAATGCAGGTCCAGGTGCATCCCAGCTCTCTGCTCCTGGTGCGGCTGAGATTTGCGCTGTGGGGAAAGAAAGGGTACAATTGGGAGACAGCTCAAGTGCACCATTTAAAACAGGCATAGGGAAACTCTGGCCCTCCAGATGTCTGGCACTACAATTCCCATCATCCCTAGCTAACAGGAATTGTAGTCCCAAACATCTTGAGGGCCGGAGTTTGCCTATGCCTGATTTAAAACAACAGCAACAGTATCTGAAGTCTTGAGGGATCCCACAAACCATCTGGCATTAGGTCTCCTATTTGGACTCCTGAGAGTCAATGGCTCTAAAAAACAAGTTTGCAGAGATTCTCCACATAATTCCCACTTCAGCTTCCCTTGCTGCTGTGCAGCCCTATGAGAGGAAATAAAAATCCAAATGCAATAGCCATTTCAAAGAGCAGCCCAGAATAAGAAAGAAGGCTGGATATTTTGTACTGTTGATCAAACTTCTTGTGAACACTGACTTTGGTTTGATCTTTGACAGAATTTAGATTTCTGAGGGTATTTTACAATGAATCTTGTTCACAGATTTTGGACTATTACAACACCCTGAGGGGCGTCTTTAGAGGGCCTTATACAGCAGCCTCTACAACTCCCATGCTCCTTGACCACCAGTTATGCTGCCTGGGAATGACGGAAGTCCAACAACATATGGGCGGCCACAGGTTTGCCAGCCCTGCCTTATAATTCCTGAAAAGTATTATTATTATTATTTATTATCTATTGAATGTATATCCTGCCCATCCTCCGCAAGGAGCCCAAGGTGGCAAAGAGATACACAATTTAACCACAAAAACATTCTAAGACAGAACAACTGCAATTAAAAACTTCTAAAAGCAGTTATTTTAAATTCATTTTTTCCCATACAATGGTCTTGGGGTTGCCAGGAACAGTATTCTTCAGTCACTAAAGACCTGTGAAAACAATTCCTCCTGAAAATTAATCAGGACCAAGACAGGTGCGCCTCACTAGGGAGGGCATTCCACCACCAGGGAACTACCACTGAAAATGAATGCCTTGAAGGACAGTAGTCAGAGGGAATGAAGTCTGAGGCAGATTAACGTGATGCACAAAAGAAGAGAAATGTGTGCCTTACCTCAGCATCTTCCCGAGCCAGATGGTCCAAAGCAGCAACATCCAGCTGGACTCCCTTCTCCTTCAGCATCAAGCCAACAAGATCCAGGGGGAAACCCAAATTGCTATGGAGAGACCAAGCAACCTCCACTGCAGGCAGAAGTAAGATCAATGGAGGAGTGTTAGTTTATTTAAAATATTTGCAGGCCACCTTTAAGGATGGAACACGCTCAAGGTGGCTTCCAGCATATAAATTCATTAGGAGAATTAGGAGAGTATAAATTCATTAAGAGCTTCATTAGGAGAAACAAGAAATTATCTCTTCAAATGCAGTGTGTTTGGGAGCGAAAGTGCACTGGCGGTGAAGAAATTGCAGTCAGTCAGAGAGCTATTGGCTGCTTGTCTGCCTGCCTTAAGAATGTAAAAAAGAAAAGTCTTGTCAGATGAAACAAAGCTCCATCTGAAAATATCATCTTGCTCTTTGTATTCCCAACTGAGCAGCACTGCGCTGCACGTACCATCTCATCAGGAGGTCTGTTCTGACCATGTAGGATGCAGGCCTTTCATGTGGCAGCACCTAATCTTTGGCGCTCTCTCCTGTTACATCTCAGGCAGGCCCCGCTCTTGTTTTTTCAGCACCTATTCACAACCTTCCTTTTTTCAACAAGCCTTTTAAGTGGACATTCTTATCCTAGGTTCTACCTGTATAGAAACTGTTTTATTGTTTTGTTGTCTTGTTGCTAAGTTAGTTCCAGGTGTTGCACAGGATGTGATTCATAAATGAAATGAAATGAATGAATGATCCAGCCCAGCGTTCCATTTCCAGCAGTGGCATGATAGGTGCTTCTGGACATTAGCAAGCAGGGTTTGAAGAGCATCCCCCATTGTTTGTCCCCAGCACATGTTATTTAGGTGGATACTGCCTCTCTCACTTAGCCAACATGGGCAACATCCATGAACAGACCTATCCTTTTCAAGGGTGTGTGCCATAAAACCACCTAAGCTAGTGGCTTAATAAAACCACTCCGGGGTGGAGGGGATGTATCAGTGACACATAATGCTTAATACTTAACTGGGAGACAGAAAGCAACAAGTCTGGGACCTAAAGTTCAACAGAAATCAGTGGCAAAGTTCTATTGCTGAACAAGTAAGCTGTGCCTTCAGTTACAGACGGTGTGTGTTTAATTGCAAGGACCAAAAAGGCAGGGCAACTCAAAAGCCAGGCAGCTTAAAAATGGGAATAGATTGCAAGTGATGCCTCCCTTGTGACTGCATTTTCTCTTCTCCTTCAGCCATCAAGAGGAAGAGGAAAAAAATACTTGCCTGGGAAGACTTTGGAATGATCCATCTGTTGGAGGGTTCTGTTTATAATGCGGCGCCCCCGCAGAAGGGAAGAGAGAAAGGCATCCTCGTGCTCACTGATGATATTCATAATCTGTTGGGAGATCAGAGCCAGATTCAGGAGGCAGTTAAACCAATTATTCCAAAGAACTCCAAAAGATATGGAAGTGTTAAAAGGCAGTGGCGGGGACCCAAATGCATCAGGTGATAAGCTATTAATGAGATAGGACATGAGATACCGAGGGCTCCTCCTATCGCTCTGAATATGTGGAGTAAAAGTGTCATTCATGACTGTAGTGCAGTCGTGTCTCATTTGCTTAAACCACTGCCCTTTTTTATGCAGCCCTGTGATGAGCCGATGGGGTGGGGGTTAAAAGTAGGTAATAGGGTGTATGCTCTATCCATTCTGCCTCATTTATGGGGGTCAGCTTTTGGAACAGGCCAGAAATCCAATTTACTGAATATTATGTACATGTGGAAGGAAAGAAGCCTGTGCAGATAGGGGAAAACAGCAAGTAAGTGCATTGTGTGTGTATGCCTGGGTTCAAACAGAAGGGGAAAGGATGTAGGTTAGGGTTGGGGGACCAGCGCACAAGATGTTGCTGGACTCCAGTTCCCATCAGCTAGCATGATCAATCATCAGGGATTATGAGGACTGTAGTCCAACAACATCAGGCGGGCCACAGGTTCCGCAACCTTGCTGTAGGTTTTGCTTGGGTTTTTGGGGTTTTTCTATAGCAAAACTGGTTGCTTGGAAATAGGTTTGAAACGTAGCTCTGCTAACTGTGCCTGTAAAATACTTCATTTCACTTATTTCTATGTACACTAGAATTTGCAACACTAGATTGGACTGTAGCAGAAAAAGCCTCTGCTTTTAGGTGCACCTGGTCAGCTTTAGTAAGCGTCGTCAGCTGTGGTAAGAAGCAAACTACAGAGCCTGCTTTCAGCTCAGTGTGTTACATTTATTCCTGCTCCCAGCTGCTCTCCTTTAGCTTCCTCCCAATGAGAAGGGGGGGGGGGGAATCCCTTCTTTAATAGTGGAAGCTCCTGTGCAGCAAATTCAACTGGAGAGAATTCATGAGAAAACTTATACAAGAGGTTCCTGTACACACCATCATCCAGTGAGGATAGTTCCTATACTTCGTGCAACCGGCAGTAATTACCAATTAGATATGAGTTTTGACCCACCAGTTCCTGTTGCTCACCGTGTCTGTATCCTTCCTTAGCTCCGGATAGGCATCTCCCTGCAAAGGAAGAATGACGGACTCTCAGAAGCAGAGGTTCCAGTCCCAGCCCTGCTGACAATGCACTACCAAGCACACAGCTTTGCTCCTTACATCAGTGGCAGGAACTATCCTGTATAAGCAGGATATCTGAACTTGACAATTTAAAGCTTTGGTTTGCACAGCGACCACCCACGGCCTTTAAACTCGCACATCTTTCAAGTCCTTTCTCCCCCCTTCTTAATAGGAGCGTGGCTGTCATTCAGTCAAAGAAGCAGAACCCTGCAAGCACAGCCCAAGTTTCCTCATTCTAAATCCCCTGACCAAAGCACCTCTCAGGCACACTTCTCTGGCATGAAGTGCTTTGTGGATTTTGTAGTGAGACTGAAGAGCAGACCCTAGGGGGACTGCTACACCAGTCTATGTTTTCCCTAGTATGGAAGGTTGTATGGGAAATCCATACAGTAGACAAAATGAGGAATTAGAGATATGACATGGTTACCCTTCCTGCCTCTGTTCCTTTCCCCCTCCCTCGCCCTTGTTAAGTTTTTGATGGTGTGAGAACAGTCTTTGGTGTCCTAATCAGTTGGGAGGAGGTGAAGCCCCCCACACAGCTGCCTTAATCAGCCTGGGAGGATAGTGCTGGAAACCTTCTTTGATGTTGGAAAATGTTGTGGGAAAGCGAGGCATTGGGAGGAGGTGGCTATCTATAAAATCGGATGGTGTGGGCAGAGTTTTTCAGAAACTCGTACACGGACTGATCAGCTGCAGGGCTGTGCAAACTGAGGCTACCTGGGGGAGTCACTTCGCTGCTTCTTGAGGGCTTCCAAGTGGCAGATACAAGTGCTTGCTTGGTATGTATATATTGCTAGCTGTTTAGAAGTAAAATCTTCTTCTCACTCACTGGTGTTTTGTACTGCTTCTGAATCTCTTTTAAAAGAACCACCTTGCATCTGGCAAAACAGGGGTCTCCCTTGGATGGCATCTCAGGAAGCTTTTGTCCTCACATACAACCCTCTCTGCTTTGTCACAACTCCAGCAACTCTACCTACAGCTGCAGTTATTGAAACATTAAGGAACAGACTCTTTGTAGCTCAGTCATCAGCATTTATCAGGACCTAAAGCAAACAGTTACCACTCCCCCCACCCATCCACAATGTGAAATAAATAAAGGATCTCATAAGTATTGGGCCTATCATTTCACGAAACTAGGTTGCTCGTCCTGTTACTAGGTGTGTACTCTTGGTCTACACATGAACCAGGAAAATTGCTACAACATTTGGATGGGAACCTGGCTAGAAACAAGTGCCTCTCCCCAGGAAAATCCTCGGTTACCAGAATTTCCACCACAACAGGAACCAAGCTGGCCAGGAACCCAGGTGGCGCATGGAGAACTTCAGAGCAAAACCGCACAGCCCTGCGCAAGATCTGGCGAAGGACAAGCCTGCAGGGAAAAGAAATTTCAAGAACAGCTAAGTGTTCTTGGTCAGAATGCTGTTCTTTTTCTAACCAGCCTCCCAACCAGGTAGTGCAGTTAGCCAGTTTTAGACACCACACTTTAATGGTCATATGCCCCCACGCCATTCCTCTTTACATGGCAAATGAGTACTCTCTCACTTATCACAAAAGGTAGTAAGCCAGCCAGGCTACCTTGGGGGACACCTTCTAAATTTGCTGAATGGCATGTTGGTCTCCCGCCCCAAAGCCTTGCCCTGCTCCCAACGTTCAAACACCCCACCAATAAGATCCCGTTAATATTTATCCTTCAGATTCCCCTTGACTCATCACCGATTATCCTCCTGCATGCATCTCACACCTGTCACATCGACAATCGATTCTTCTGCCTCTTCCACACCTGGTTTCCTGACAGCAGTCAAGAGTGTAGTCTCTCTGTGCCAGGAATGGGGAACATGTAGCCCTCCAGATGTTGTTGGGACTCCAGTTCTCATCAGCTGCAGGCAGCATGCCTACAGTCAGGGATGATGCAGTCCAACATCTGGAGGGCCAGAGGTTCCTCTCCGCTGCTCCATGTCCATTTTAGACTCTGCTTTTTCACTCCAGAATCTCCTCCTCCTCCAAAAGCCCCCATCTTGCTCAAGTCTCCTTAAGCTCCCCTTAAGTTCAGAGCCATTCCTCTGCCCCAACCAACCCTTGTGATTGTGCTTCTTCCTTACTCGGCACCAGACATGCCTGGGTAAACACCATCGGCAATGCAGACGGACAAGGTGCGCACGTGATCTGCCACCACTCTGTAGGCCATGTCCACACTCCCAGGGTCAGCTTCTCCAACCAAGCCTTGATATCTGGGCCCACCACAGCCCTGCAGGACAAATATATATTTTAGGAAGCCTGAATAGGGGGGCTGCACGGAAAGCTTCATAGCACTGAATACTGCAGATGTCGCCTTCAAATGATCATTGTTCTTCTGTAACATTTGTTTAAAGTCCTCTGGAAGTTCTTTAAAAGTACAAGATAGAAGCTACCATGCCAAACTAAGGCATAAGCCTCTCTATCAGTCTTGGAAATATAGTTGTAAAACCCGCCCTCCCAATTCTCATCCTTGCTTCCTCTTTGCACACAGTTCCATTTGTCTCTCTGAAAATAACTCAGGGTGCTGGGCAGGAACTGTCATGGCTGTGTCTCTTGGCCCTTTACAGTTGCAGTCCTATTCTCACTTACCCAGGAGTAAGCCCCATTGAGCCCAGTGGGAATTATTTCCACAAAGGCATGTGTAAGAATGTGCTATACAGTGGTACCTCTAGTTACGAACTTAATTTGTTCCGGAGGTCCGTTCTTACCCTGAAACTGTTGTTAACTAGAGGCGTGCTTTCGCTAATGGGGCTTCTTGCTGCAACTGCGCTGCCAGCACACGATTTCTGTTCTCATCCTGGGGCAAAGTTCTCAACTTGAGGTAACTCTTCCAGGTTAGTGGAGTTTGTAACCTGAAGCGTTTGTAACTCAAGGTACCACTGTAAAGCATAAAGAGATAGTTGTAGCTCTGCTGTCAGAAGCAGGATGTCTCCGAATACCAGTCACTGCAAATCAGAAGTGGGCAGCATTGCTGTTTCACTGAGGCTTCCCACGGGCATCTGGCTGGCCACTGTGAGAACAGGATGCTGCACAAGATGGGCCCTTGGGCCTGATCCTGCAGCACTTTCTTTGTTGATTTAGTTAGGAGACTGCCAGGGAACTCATTTCCAGACACAGAAGGAGGGCCAGGTGTTATTGCAACACTTTTTCAGCTCTCGAGAGCTGCACTTTTCCACCCAGGAAAGAAATGTCACATTGAAAGGGCTGGCAAACTGGTGTTGCCATCTCCCCGAGCCCTTTTAGGGTTTTGACCAAGAAGCAGCTGCAACTGTTGTTCTTTTCACCTTAGAAATGACTGCTGTGGTGTATCACAGCTGCTCAAACTATCTCTCCTAGTTATAAAGAGCCGTGCAGCTAGGAGTGTTCCCCACCCCCCCACAACCAAATGAAAAACCACCAAGAGACCAGGAACTGCCATTTCTCTGCTCACCCAGAAGCAGCTAATGTTGCTAGGTATGTAGCTTTTACATATAAACCCTCTGAAGTTTCAGTTTGGATTCCCCTGGCAACTGATCATCACCTTGTGGATGGCATCCAGGATAGGAGTGAAGAGGTCGGTGTCGTAATTGGAGCGCTTGTTCTGGAGAATGGTCATCAATCTTTCCAGACCCATTCCTGTGTCCACATGATGCTCAGGCAGCTGCTGTAGACTTCCATCAGCCTCTCTGGCAATAGACCAGTCAGTAACCAAAGAGGGTTAAGTTGGGGGGGAAAGACAGATGTAAGATAGAAGCAAAGGGCTTGATTATTCACCTCAAGCTGTGGATGGGAAAAACCCCAGACAGTAAAGGAGATATCATAATTTGGAAATACGGTACTATGGAAATGAATGAGAAGGGTAGTAGAAGCATTATCAGAAGGCTGCAGCAGAGGATAGAAAGAGGATCAAACAGACTATGAAAGTGAGGCGTTACAAAAGTTCTTATATGGAGTACATTACGCAGGGTGCTTGAAAGGCAGGTCAAATTACTCTAGAGCATTGGTAGGGAACCTCCGCCCTGCTCTTGAATGTTCCAGAACTCTTCTGAAATCAGCAGGGTGCAAGGTGCTATATTCAGAAGAAAGAATAACTTTGAATGCACTCCCAATGTTCCTTTGCAACCACAGCTTTGCTTCAGTTTAAGGCTGCAAAAGGAAAACCTTTGGAGACACAGCTTGAACGCAATGGGTCCGCCACTTAACATGTTATTTACTTGCACAATCATGACTGTAGGCGCACGGCCAAAAATAAATAGAGAGTGGGGGACACCTGCCATGGGGAGAGCTCTTCAAGTCTTCCACCTTGCTTAACAGCCTCAGGGAAGGATATATGTGGGCTTTGGGACATTCCCAGGACCCTCACATGACCTCCCAGAGCCCAGGACGCCAGGAGGCAGAGGGCATGGCCTGCTCTGGACTGGTAGGGATGGTCCCATGAGGGGCGGGAGGTTGGTTCTAGGGGTTTCCTGGCTTTAGATGATTTTGCCTTTGTGTGCGGACCCCAAACCATGTGGAAGTGGCGGGTCCACTATATTTTATTTAGAACTGCTTTGCATGCAGAATGTCCCAGGTTCAATCCCTGGCATCTCCAAGTACAGCTGAGAAAGAAAGACCCCTGTCTGAAGTTCTGGAGCGCCACTGACAGTCAGTGTAGACAATACTGAGCTAAATGGACCAGTGGGTCTGACTCAGTGTAAGGCAGCTTCCTCTCTTCATAAGCCATAATAATAATAATAATTTATTATTTATACCCCGCCCATCTGGCTGAGTTTCCCCAGCCACTCTGGGCGGCTCCCAATCAAGTATTAAAAACAATACAGCGTTAAATGTTAAAAATTTCCCTGAACAGGGCTGCCTTCAGATGTCTTTTAAAGATAGGATAGCTACTTATTTCCTTCACATCTGAAGGGAGGGTGTTCCACAGGGTGGGCGCCACTACCAAGAAGGCCCTCTGTCTGGTTCCCTGTAACCTTACTTCTCGCAATGAGGGAACCGCCAGAAGGCCCTCGGCGCTGGATCTCAGTGTCTGGGCTGAACGATGGGGGTGGCCATGGCTGCAAAGGAAGAATATGGCTACTTCTGGATCCAGTCCACCAGCCAGATCCAGTTCCCCAACCCTACTGTAGAGCAGCTTTGCTCTCCAGCTGTTTTGGAATACAAGTCCCATCAGCCCTGATCAGCAAGTTCAATGGTGAGGAATGGCAGGAGTTGCGGTCCAAAACATCAGGCCACTGTAGACTCTTGTGATTGTTCCAATGGTATAGAAGCCTCCAACCAAGAAGTGGGGCCCTGGCACAAAGTTCGGTACCCAAGCTGCTCCACCATTTCATACCTGCTATACTGCATGAAAACCAGATTCCAGATCTCCACCACTTCAGGGTTGCCCTGGTTCACCAGTGCTGCCGCATTCCTACCCCTGCCCACATGGTCATAATGGATTTCTGTGCAGGGTCCACAGGGACCAGTATCGCCCATCTCCCAGAAGTTATCTTGCAACTGAAAAGGAAGCACGTGGCTGGGAGGCACACTGGAAAGCAAGAAGAGAACGGCTTATGAACCTAGGGCAATAAAACCACACTCATTTTTCTTACCCAAAACCTCAGCCTTTGAACCTCACAATAAACAGGGCACAAGACAGAAGAGGATAATTCTCTATAATGCCTGAGCAACTGCAGCACTACCATTAACTATGAGTTATCATACTGCTCCTCTACGATGGTAGCCTCTTATCAGTAAAAACTAATAAGTAAAAAACAAGTAGTACAGAAAAACGTGGCAAATACTTGGGCCTGGTCATATCTAATGTATGCTGGGATGCATCCAATCTTTGCACATTCTAACATATTTTCTGTACACTCTATCCCACCCCCATGTTACCACTTTGATTGCAAGCCTTTGGTCAATTTTTTTTAAAAAAATTGTGCAGTGCTTACTTCATTTTAAGAGCAAAACATACAAACTCCCCATCAGGGCAGGTCTAACTGTGACAAGAAATTCAAGTTCTGTACTCAGAATAGACGCAATCTGGATGGATGGAATTTTTGGCAGAGAGGGTGACAAGGTGCCAACAAGGATCCATGCACAGAAAAGATAAAGAATGCCAACTGTGCTTAGCAGAGACCGTAACTGAAGTCCTTGTTAGTTACCAAGCTTTTTGGAGACATTTCCTGCACATTTTCAATAACTTATCCTGTAAAAACTAGAAACCTTTTTTTATGTGTTATTTTGGATGCTGAATTGGACGTCTGCATGCATACCATGTGGTGTAAGGCATGGCTACAAACAGCCTTGGACAACATCCAGATCAGACTTCTAGTACAGTGGTACCTTGGCTCCCGAACAAATCAGCTCCTGAACGCCACAAACCTGGAAGTGTTCTGTTTGCAAACGTTTTTTGGAAGCCGAACATCCATTTCGGCTGTTGGCATTGTTTCTAGGGCCAATCAGTCAATCAGAAGCCATGCCTTGGTTTGCGAACGTTTTGGAATTCGAACAGACTTCCAGATTGGATTGAGTTCAAGAACCAAAGTACCACTGTATTATCTCTTTTGGCATCTTTTTCATTTACTTACCCCAGGCTGAGCCAAATTTCCCTGCTCTCTTCATCTGCACTTAGACTAAGTGAGGCATCTCCTCCGAAATAGGTGACATACAGACGGTCCTTGGGGATTTCATAGACCTGTGTTAGGAGCTCCCATGCCATGCTACAAGCTTCCTCCTGAAGACAAGGAAAGTTGTCAAATGATGGTAAATAACAAGCCAATGTTTGGATAATAAGGAAGTTACTTAATTGCAAGGGGGATGGCTTCTATTTTAGTTTATCTTATTTTCAAGGACAGTGTTGCATAGTATACATAATGATAGATTTGAACCAAGGAAAGGGACCTACTCAGTCCCCTTGGGCAGGCTACCTCACAGGGTTGTTGTTGACTCCATGTATGATTTCCCAATGAGTTCAGGCTTAAGGATTAAATACAAATACAGGTGACATCCCACTTGCATGGGGGTTATGTTCCAGGTCCCCACATGCAAAAGTGAAATGTGCATAAGTGGGGAGCACCCTGGAGAGTCCTCTTGGGTTGTGAGGAGACCCTCCCCAGAGCCCAAAGAGGATGCCGAAGAAACCAGAGATGCAGAGGGGCTTTGTTTGTCCTCTTCGGGCCCTAAGGAGGGTCTCCTCACAACCCAAGAGGAATTTTCAGCACTTCTTGCTTCCCGGCGCCGCACGTGAGCGAGGCCACACGTAATTGGGGAGTTGCATGTAGACAGATAAGAGACAAACAAGTTCATGAATGGCAGAGGACGACTCAGGAACTTTGTTTTTACTGTGTTCTCTCACATTGTCCAAAGCACTTAGGCTAAAAGTATGAGAAAGAAAAACTTGCTAAATCATGTTTGTAAATACAAACACAAACAATATTAGTTTAGACAACATGCCATCAGGTTTCTCACAACTGATATTTTAATAGCAGCTGGTAACTTGTGCTCAGAGAAACCAAGGAAGCCTTGCATTTCTATGATGGGGTGTGTGTATTAGCACCTACAAAAGCTTGTTCCCCAGTTACAACAAGAGATTTCCTCCAGCTCCAACGTTTGTAGTGCAAGCATTGGGACTTTGTGGCCCTCCAGATGTTCTGGACTACATCTCCCATCCTCCCCGACCATTGGCGACGCCGCCTGGAGCTCATAGGAACTTAAGAGTTGAACAACATCTGAAGGGCTGCAGGGTTCCCACCACTGTTGTAGCTCAGAACAGCCTCTATCGCTGTTGGTCTGGCCTTGCTTTTGATTGTTTTTGTACTGGAGCCATAGGATAGAATGGAGGAAATTCTGAACAATGGTTTGAAATGAAGAGTGCAAGAATTGCTCTCATCTTGTGGTACCAATATGCAAGAGTGGATAGACTGACGGTGATTAACAGGTCTTATGCTGCCAGCAAGACTAACTAATAATGATGAAAGAAGAAGAACCAGGCTCATTAAGCAGCATATGAGCTCCGACGCACTGGGCTTGTTAGCTTCCCAATTAAAAATGAAATAAAAGCACCATGCTCTGCTCTTGAATCAATGCAGAGCTGGAAACAGATGCTTTGTAATTAGTCACAACCTCCTGCTTCACCATCTCCCATGTTACCTTTCCAAGGTCTAATATCAAACACACAGCAATAGCATATGGCACCATTTCACCTGCATCTAGACCCCTTCATGGTGTGTGGGAGGGGACTTATTTCATATGTGACTGTTCTCCCACATTAAAATGCCCTGTCTGTGGAAAGCTGGGGACAAGGCTAGGTTGGACTAGATGATCCTGAGGGTCCCTTCAAACTCTACAATGTTATGATTCCCCATGCAAGCAGATTGTCCTTTACACAGGGAAACATAAATTCCCCCACTTATTTCAGTCCAGATATCATATTATTATTATTACCATATTTATGCAAATATAATGTGCACCTCAATTTTCAAAACCTTGAAACCAAAAAAGTATTTGCTGGTGCCATCAAATCTAATGCGCACCCTAATTTTCACGACGTAATTTGGTCAAAAAAGGTGTGCATTGCATTCAAGTAAAGTTGTTGTTGTTGTTGTTGTTGTTGTTAATACACTGCCCTTCATCAAAAGATCGCAGGGCAGTTCTGCATGCGTAAATCAGTTCTAAAGGCATTGTGGTTTAAAAACAAAACATCACCGCAAAAGTTTGTCTCTACCATACTGCAGCAAATTAAAAATATAAACAGAAACACCTAATGTGTTTTATAATAAAGCATGGCCTCATCTCTTACTTTGAAATAATCACCGAAGGACCAGTTCCCCAGCATTTCAAAGAACGTGTGATGATAAACATCTCGGCCCACATCCTCCAAATCATTGTGCTTCCCACCTGCACGCACACATTTCTGGCTGTTCACCACCCGCCGGTAACTTGCTAGCTCACTCCGGGGATCTGCTGAGCCCAGGAAAATGGGCTTGAACTGGAAAGTGAAGGAGAAACACAAAGCAGTTTTCACATACAACAGATGCTGAAGTTGGGATCCAGGGGAAGGCATGCTATAAAGCTGTAATAGCCTGCTAGTGAACTACTGGGCCCAATTACCGTATTTTTCGTTCTATAGGGCGCACCGGCCCATAGGACGCACCTCGTTTTTTGGGGGGGAAAATGAATAAAAAAAATTATTCCCCCCCCCCCCGCCGCGGCTGCCGCCCCAAGCCTTGTGCACACCTGCAAGAAGCACGGGGCACCCTCCGGAGGGCTCCCCGTGCTTCGGGTGACAGGCTGCCGCCCCAAGCCTCGCGCGCTCGGCGGGACCTCCTGCCGGGCGCGCAAGGCTTGCAGACACTCGCCCGAAGCACGGGGAGCCCTCCGGAGGGCTCCCCGTGCTTCGGGCGACAGGCTGCCGCCCCAAGCCTCGCGCGCTCGGCGGGACCTCCTGCCGGGCGCGCAAGGCTTGCAGACACTCGCCCGAAGCACGGGGAGCCCTCCGGAGGGCTCCCCGTGCTTCGGGCGACAAGCTGCCGCCCCAAGCCTCACGCGCTCGGCGGGACCTCCTGCCGGGCGCGCAAGGCTTGCGGACACTCGCCGGGGCTGCAGGCTGCTGCCTGCAAGCCTTGTGAGCCCGCGGGAACTCCCACCGGGCTTGCAAGGCTTGCGGATAGCTTCCTGAAGCCTGGAGAGCGAGAGGGGTCGGTGCGCACCGATGCCTCTCGCTCTCCAGGCTTCAGCGCAAGCCTGCATTCGCCCCATAGGACACACACACATTTCCCCTTCATTTTTGGAGGGGAAAAAGTGCGTCCTATGGAGCGAAAAATACGGTAAATGGCAAGGCTGGCCCTGCTCATGGTGCCTCCATCAAGATCAGACCACAAGGTGGTGACAAAAGGCAGCATCTTTTTGATGGCACAACCTCAGTTCTGGAACTCGCCCCCTGCTAGAGATCTGGTTGCCCTCCCCCAACTGTTTTCTTTCAAGTGAAAACATAAAAGTATCTCCTTCTCCAAGCCTATAGCCAAGAGCTGGTGTGGAGTCGTTATAACTCAATGATTGCTGCAGCAGCACTGTATTTTACTGGTGGATTGTATTTCATTGTATACTGGGTTATTATTGTTGTTAAAATTTCTATACCTCCCTTCAGCCAAGGGTCACATAAAAACACAAAAATATGTAACACAGTAACAAAAACAGAACCCCCCCCCAAAAAAAACAACAACATGGATTAATGTTGATTTTATTTGGTTACTGTTACCCACCCACCCTGGGTTTCTCTAAAAGGAAGTAACTTAAGTCTTTGATTTTAAAGGGTGTACTCAAGAGTATGATTTAGTTGGATACAACCCAATATATTGTCTTGATCTAGACAGGAAATGGGCAGAAAGGGGATGTTTTCTCCCAGCAAGTGAAAATGGTAGTTTTTCTTAATAAAAACAAATTATTTGACTCCTGGGATGCCAATTTAACTGTGATTTACATCACCTGAATTCTTAATATATAGCACAGGCTCAAAATAAATCTTGCTATCAACTAACACGAGGGGCTTCCTCTTTCATACTGTCAGGATGTGGAGCTACCAAAATGTGTACATCCAGAAAGGCATTCTTGGTGACTGCCCCAGGATTTTAGAAATTCCCTTTTTGAAGCAATAAGCATCTTTTGAAAGTGTTGCAATACATCTTGAATTCTGGAATCCCCTCCCCACAAGGGTGCATCTGGAACGTTCACTATAACTTTTGGCAAATACTAAAGATGCACCTCTTTACCTTGGCCCTTTCACACTTGAGATGTATGTTTTCATGGTCCTCCCTATTCCTGTGACTGCAATTTGTTTTTAATGTTTTTTAATTTAAAATTATTATAACCCATCCTGGGGCCTGCTGCGATTTTCATTTTCATTTAAATTGCTAGTGGACTAAATGGGAACAATAGACTTTTATGCATTAACCATATTATCAATGCCAGGTAAAAGGTAAACGTACCCCTGACCATTAGGTCCAGTTGCAGACGACTCTGGGGTTGCGGCGCTCATCTCACTCTATAGGCCGAGGGAGCCGGTGTTTGTCTGCAGACAGCTTCCGGGTCATGTGGCCAGCATGATCGGCAAGCCCTAGGCTCTGTGGTTTTGACCACAGCGCCACCCGCGTCCCCATATCAATGCCAGGACATGTTATCAATTATGTTTCTTTGTGAATGCCCATCACTAATAATCCCTGCCTGTACTTATCTGCACTGCATTTCCTTCCAGCTTCACTGTTTACAATCTCGTTTATGTGTCCCTGCAACTCAGATGTAGCAAACTGCAGTCTATCAAAGCTTATGCAACCATACTTTTCTTACTCTCTTAAGATGCCATAAGACTCTTTGCTGGTTTTGTTGCAAGAGGCGCAAGGCTATCGCTATGGAAATCATTTTAATTTTGCTTTCTTGTCCAAATGAAATATATTGTTTCCCCACTAATAACCTGTGGGATTTGGCCACCGGAAAACATCTACTCAAATACATTAAGCAAAATATTATTTCCATTTCACTTATAGGCACTGCTTTGATTTAAAAACTTCATCAGGGCGATTAAAGTTTTTCATAGAAAGCGTGTAAAGAAGGAATCCCAGACGAGTCCCATGAGGAAGATTCCCAGTGGAAACGCATTGGATTCCCTAAGTTATTTTACTTTATTTTGTTTTGTTTTTATTTCCCCTCAGCTTGAACCTGACACTTTCCCTTCTCTGCCGGAGCTCCTCCTTTTACAGGGCCTTTGCTTCGTCCCGCAGATAAGAGGGAGGGATAGCGGCGGAGTCGACTGGACCTTGAGGAAAAGGAATAACTTGTCCTATCCCAACCGGATCACACCGGGCACGCAAAGCAGCGGTAGGAACCATTCTCTGCAGGGCTGGTTCCTCCGCCGCGCCCTTTTTGAGGACGTACCTGGTTCATGCCCGCGTTCACGAACAACAGCCCGGGATCCCCTCGCGGCCGCACCGGAGCCGACGGCACCACTTGGTGCCCATGCCGCTCCTTGAAGAACTGGAGGAAAGCCTGGCGCACTCGCGCGGAGGACGGCGAAGCAACAGAACGAGTCCCCTGGCAGGAGCTGCAATACCAGCCAGGGGGCACCCGGAGAAGGCGCCTGACCGAGCCCTTGCCTGCTACCGCCGCCGCCATCTTAACTGAGGGCGGAATTACGGGAGTCGTGGCTTCAGGGTTACAATGGCTAGGGCGGATTTGTCTCTGAAGTCCGCCGTTGTAAGAATATCTTCCTCCCTGCAGAGGATGGTGGGATTGTGACGGACCGGTTGACCACCCTAATAGTTCCTAACCATCGGACTTGGAAGTCCTGGCTTTATAGTTTTTTTCTGTCCAGTCCAGCCCAAAGGAGGGGTGGACGTTTGTCTCGTATGCTCCAACAGCAGTGCAAGATTGGTTGAAAACTAAGGGCCATGAAGTGATGTAAAAATCGGGGTTTGGCTTTTGCTGCCCAACTCCCCATGGGACTCTGAGTCCCCTAAGTCCATGACCGGTCAGAGATATTTATTCTATATATCTCAAGTGCCAAAATATATTGGGCAGGTCCCCCTGAAAACTGAGTGACATCAAGCGAAGTCTGTGTGAACTTCAAGTTAAAAAAGCCAGGCAGCGCCCGCGGGTCTCAAACCGCTGGAAGCGATTTGGGGATCAAAGCAATGCGTTTGTCGATGGAACCGCTGGGCTGAGCTGGCTCGGGAAAAGAAGGTCGCTTGGAGCATATGAGAAGCTATTTAGGGAGGGGAGCGGCCAGGCAAACACCTAGCCACGTCTGTTTCCTCCAACACCTTCTGTCTGGCGAAGCTGACCCGTAGATCCCTGCTCTGTAAGGCACACCAGCGGTGCAGAGGTTATAAAGTCCCTTTTTAAAAATCATAACCATTTGCAATGGAGCTGCGAGTCCCAGCTGCAAAGAGCTTCACTTTGTAGATATGGTTGAGTTTGGCTGAGTGGGAGGAGACGTTGTTTGCACTGTTAGCCACACCCCTTGCTTCATAGATTCTTCTATGTTTTAGCTGACCTTACTCCTTGGGCCAGCTTAGCCTAGCGGTTACTTCGACTCTACATTTGTCAGACTCTCTAATTGCTTAACGGCAGTTTGATACCCCGCAGGCGCTGTCTGGTCTTTTTTCAGTCTCTGCAATTTTACTTGATTTTATTTACATATCCAGGCTTCTACACTGTTTGCAATACTACCTGAGCCCAAGAAGGCACCCTTGAAAAATGAGTAACAGCCGCTGAAGTCTGTGTGAACTTCAAGTTCATTACAGTGCTGAATTTGGACCCGGTTTCGAATTCTGGATCAGGTCATGTAGATGAACAAGGAGTGGAAAACACGTGATGCCATTTATCCCTCTACACCCATCCAGTGTGCCCAAAATTACAACAAACAGACTAGGTCACTTATAGTATCTGAATCCCAGGTGAAATGTGGCCCATCAAAAAATAAACTCATATATCATTTCAGTGTGCAATCTGTGCAGTTTGGCAATACAGTGCAGTTTGGCAAGTGTAGGGACAACGGGAATTTGCAGGAAATGATGCTGTGCGTCCCCATGCCTTAATGGGAGTGTGATGGATGGGCAAAGTCTTCTTGGGAGAAGGAGAGCATCCTCTCAGTGTAGGTCTTTTAAAAAGTCCTTCGCCTTGGGCAAGACAACGGAAGGTCAAGCACACGGAATCGCTACTCACTAATTGCTGGACTCTGGTGGGATTGCAAAACCTGTAGCGGTTTTGCTATGTAAATATGTTGCCGCAGGTGTAATTTAGAGCTGTTCATTGGCTTAGCTGAGAAGGCTAAAAAGCCAAGCAGCGCCCGCGGGTTTCAAACCGCTGTGAGCGATCGCAGGATCCAAGCTACGCGTTGGTCGATGGAACCGCTGGGCTGAGCTGGCTCGAAGGAAAGCAGCTGCTTGGAGCATTCAAGAGCGTGGGAGGACGATGCTTTCTCTCCTGTCCCCATCACTGATCAACCAGTACTGTATATACATGTCATGAAATACACTAATAAATTAAAAAATGAAAATGAAGACGCCACCCTGCAAACAACGAGTCACGTCTCCTCCCCTTCGCAAACCCCCTAGGTCTGTATCCATCCTTTCTCGCTTACGGAGCTGATTTTTATCCTGCCTTGCTCTGAAAAACTTTAGGGCGCCCCCCCCCTTTCTTTTTGCTGCAGCTCAGATGTTGATGGGACACTTTGCAGAAGCAAGACCGCAAAAGCTTCCTCTTTCTTGGATTCAGGCAGAAATGCAGAGAATCGTGTAGAAGTCTGGCTTTGCAAATCTAAGCATGTTAGAAAAACTGTTATAGTGGAAGGGAGTTTAAAAAGCCAGGCAGCGCCCGCGGGTCTCAAACCTCTGTAAGCGATTAGGGGATCCATGCAATGCTTTGGTCGATGGAACCGCTGGGCTGAGCTGAGCTGGCTCGAGAGAAGAGGCTCACTTAAGGCATACAAGAAGCTATTCAGGGAGGGGGGCGGCCGGGCCACTTCTCTTTCCTGCAACACCTTCTGTCTGGCGAAGCTGACCCGTAGATGCTGGCATCGAAGCAGAAAGACTGAAGGGCGGCGCCTACGAGTGTGAATAACTCGCTTGGCGTAAGGTTAGCAGACCTTTTAGCACACCAGTGGTGCAGAGGATGTAAAGTACTTTAAAAACCACCATTTCCAATGGAGCTGCGAATGGCAGCTGCAAAGAGCTTCACTTTGCAGATACAGTAATGTCGAGTTTGGCTGAGTGGGTGGAGACTTGGTTCGTTGTTCGCAGTTAGCCACACCCCTTGCTTAATAGCCTCTTGTTTGTTTTTAGCTGATACTGTTTCTCGAGCTAGCTTAGCCTAGCGGTTACTTCAATCTTGCAGGATTCCTCAAGCCTCGGTGGAGGGTTTGATACCCCGCGGGCGCTGTCTGGTTTTTTAGTTCTCGCAATTTAACCTGATTCATGAACACCTCCAAGTTTTATTTACATATCCAGGCTTCTACACTGATTGCAATACTACCTGAGCCCAAGAAAGCTCTCTTGAAAAAACAGCGACCAAAGTCTGGGGAAACTTCAAGTTCATTGCAGTGTTGGATTTGGACCCGGTTTCGAATTCTGGCTCAGGTCATGAAGGTGAACAGGGAGTGGAAAACACGTGATGCCAATAATAATAATAATAATAATAATAATAATTTATTACTTATACCCCATCCATCTGGCTGGGCCTCCCCAGCCACTCTGGGTGGCTTCCAACAGAATATTAAAAACACAATAAAGCATCCCTCTACATCCATCCAGTGTGCCCAAAATTACTACAAACAAGCTAGGTCACTCAAAACCAATGCTTCCCAGGCGAAATGTGGCAATCAAAAATAAACTCATATATCATTTCAATGTACACTCTGTGCAGCTTGGGGAAAAACAGGTACTGTACCTACAAATAGGTCAGAGGGGTACATATATGGTGTATATTTCTCAGCAAATGGCATGTGTCTAGACAGAGCAGGGGTCAGCAAACTTTTTCAGCAGGGGGCTGCTCCACCGTCCCTCAGACCTTGTGGGGGGCTGGACTATATTTTGGGAAAAAAAATAAATGAACAAATTCCTATGCCCCACAAATAACCCAGAGATGCATTTTAAATAAAAGGACACATTCTACTCATGTAAAAACACACCGAATCCTTTATTGCCACAAATAAAGGACAGTAGGGAATGTTTATATTGCATTATCTACATACAAAAGCACTTTCAAGATAGTCTCTATACACCCGCAACAATTTTTATTTACTGTTAATATATGGAGAGGTTACAGGAGCTTAAAGGAAGCTAATTGGACCTTGCTGAGGAATACTTAGTAAAAAACGTACAATTTGAAATGCATCTGAAAGCCAATGTATATTGGGAAATGGGTTCATGAGGTTAGTTGAGAGGGCTAAAAAGCCAGGCTGCACCTTCTGGTCTCTAACTGCTGTTTGAGGTAGATGGAACCACTGGTGGCTCTAAAAAAGTTAACTCTTGGTACATACAAAAGGCTATTAAGGAGAAGGATGTGACTGCAGAAACCCCACCATCTCTTTCCCCATAATTTTCTCTCTTACAAAGCTGATGTGGATCCTGGCATAGATCTAGATGGAAAAAAACTTAATTGGCACATGGGTTTGTTTTCGTTGTGACCTGAATGTTACACTTTGCAAGCAAGTCAACTGTTCACAAGGCCTCTGGGCTCCGGATCTGGGTGGGTGGGGCTTTTAGGAGGACATTCAAAGAGGGGTACTTTTACCTGCAAGCCCAGGCATCGTTTGCATAGAGATTTTTGCGCATGAAATTCTGCACCAAGCCCTGTTAGAAAATGATGGCAGAGAGGGAATAACTCGCCCCGCATTGCTTTAAAGTGCCTTTTAACAACCCAGAGGGTCAAACTAAATAGAGATTAAAAAAGAAATCCAAAATTTCTAAAAGAGAACAGTGAAGTGATATGCAGCAGTGGTCCTGGGTGAGGGGTGGGGAGCATAGCTGTCAACTTTTACCTTTTCTTGAGAGGAATCCTATTCGGAATAAGGGAATTTCCCTTAAAAAAGGGGAAACGTTGACAGCTATAGTGGGGAGCAACTAATCTTTCCCCTGCTTTTTTTGGAAGTGAGGATCCGTGGTAAATCATTCTCCACCCTCATCTGCTTTTTGATCCCCTGGGGGAAAATAGAGGGGTTTTCTGTAGGTGGAAAAAGCAGGGGGACTGGTGGAAACAACAATACGGACAACAGTCAGCACCAAACAGCCTGCAGGGAAAGGGAAATGAGCTGTGTTGAGCGGCCAGCTCTCCTTTCAGCAGCTGAACTGCTGTAGCTTGAGCTCACATCATACTGCTAGTGCTGGTGTGTATGAATTGCTTTGCTGGTTATTAGGCTGCAATTCACAAAATAACCCCCCACCACCACCCTGGAGTCCAAGGCTGGTGGAACCCCCGGAATCAAATGACACGTGAGAGTAGACAATTCTATGCATGCTTTAAAAACATTCCTTTCCTAGGAAAACGAAGGTGCACAACAAAGAAAGCGAAATCAAGCTACAAGTTGCATCCTCCAGTTAAATAAAGAGGAAATGGTATTACTGGAGTGTAGGGAAACGGGCAATTGCAGCAAAATGATGCTGAGCGTCCTCATGCCCTAATGCAGGCACCCTGCAAACTCGGCCCTCCAACTGTTTTGGGACTACAACTCCCATCATCCCTAGCTAACAGGACCAGTGGTCAGGGATGATGGGAACTGTAGTCCCAAAACAGCTGGAGGGGCGAGTTTGGGGATGCCTGCTAATGGAAGTGTGATGGATGGGCAAAGTCTTATTGGGAGAAGGAGATCATCCTCGTTCAGTGCAGGTCTTTTAAAAAGTCCTTCGCCTTGGGCAAGACAAGGGAAGGTCAAGCACACAGAATCGCTTCTCACTAATTTTTGGACTCAGGTGGGATTGCAAAACCTGTAGGTGATTTGCTATGTAAATACGTTGCCGCAGGTGTAATTTAGAGCTGTTCATCGGGTCAGCTGAGAAGTTTAAAAAGCCAAGCAGTGCCCTTAGGTTTCAAACCGCTGCCTGTGGGCGATTGCAGGATCCAAGCTATGCATTGGTCGATGGAGCCGCTGGGCTAAGCTGGCTCGAGAGAAGAAGGTCGCTTGGAGCTTACAAGAGGGTGGGAGGGCGATGCTTTCTCTCCTGTCCCCATCAACCAGCTCTGTATATACATGTCGTGAAATACAGTAATAAATTAAAAAATAAAAATGAAGACGCCACCCTGCAAACGAGTCACGTCTCCTCCCCTTCGCCAAGCCCCCTAGGTCTGTATCCATCCTTTCTCGCTTACGGAGCTGATTTTTATCCTGCTATTGCTCTGAAAAACTTTAGGGCGCCCCCCCTTTTTTTGCTGCAACTCGGATGTTCATGGGACACGTTGCAGAAGCAAGACTGCAGAAAACTTTCTTTTTCTTGGGTTCAGGCAGAATTGCAGAGAATCGTGTAGAAGTTTGGCTTTGCAAATTTAAGCGTCATTTAGAGAAACTGTTATAGTGGAAGGGAGTTAAAAAAACCAGGCAGCGCCCGCGGGTCTCAAACCGCTGGAAGCGATTAGGGGATCTAAGCTAATGCTCTGCTCGATGGAACCGCTGGACTGAGCTGGCTCGAGAAAAGAAAGTCGCTTGGAGTTTACAAGAATCTATTCAGGAAGCGGGGCAGCCGGGCAAACACTGAACCACGTCTGTTTCCTGTAACACCTTCAGTCTGATGAAGCTGACCCGTAGATCCCGCATCTGTCATGCACACCAGCGGTACAGAGGATGTAAAGTACTTTCAAAAGGAGCTGCGGACCGCATTTGCAAAGAGCATGACATTGTTTGCCCAATTAGCCACACCCCTTGCTTAATGGCTCCTTATATGTTTTAGCTGGCAGCATTCCTCGGGCCGGCTTAGCCTAGCGGTTACTTCGGCTAATCTTTGCAGATTCACCAATTGCTTAACGGCAGTTCGATACTCCGCGGGCGCTATCTGGCTTTTTTTACTCCTCGCAATTTAACTTGATTTATTAGCACCTCCAAATTTTATTTACATATCCAGGCTTCTACAGCGTTTGCAATACTACCGTCCTGAGCCCAAGAAGGAAGGAGCTGCGACTCAGTTTGTTTCACCCTTCCTTTCTTTTACCCAGTGCCAAAGACTTTTTAGAAAACTGCACTGAGCAACCAAGGCCTCCATCTCTCATAAAGATTTCCCCCAACAATTGCCAACATCGGGGCTGTCTCCCTTAGAAACGACTCTGTTGCCAGTCAGATCTGCCATATACAAAGCACAAGCATCCCTTCAGCAGGACAGTCTTGAACTGAGAAAGCTTTTGAGACATTATAAAGACAAACACATACATTACTACATAAGCTGTCATGGATTACAAAAAGTACGCTGAATATGTGCAGTTTTCATAAGTATGAAACTGTACATGCTTAGTGCATTCTCTTGTGGTTTATAAAGGTAGCCCAAATGCTTTTCCTTTTTGTGCTTTGCTGAGAGTTGTGACAGCAGGCGATATACCGTGCTGCAGCTGCCCTCACAGTGCAATTCTCTACGTGTCTACTCAGAAGTAAACCTTATTGGCTTCGCTTCAGTGTGAATCGCGTCCCCCTCCTTAAGTCGTTCTGTACTCGGCGTGGGAGACCTTTCGAGCCCTCCGGATGTTGCTGAACTACAACTCCCAGCACTCCAGGGCCACTGACCTGCTTGCTGGGAGTGATGGGAGTTCTAGTTCAGCAACACCTGGCAGGCCAAAGGTTCCCGAAATCTGTTTTGCTTGGATTGCAGCCCCTGAAATATTGCCTGTTTCTAAGTAACACCCTTCCCCCCCAACAACATTGCTAAACCTGAGAGCAGCAGCAGCGGTAGCTATCTCCTTAAAATCAAATAAACTCAGACGAGAAAGAAAGTAAATGAATACACAGCAAACGAATTATTATTTAAATACGCCGGCAGTTGGCAAGACCTCCTTCAAACGCCGCCGCCCCCCCCGCTACATTTGAAGCCTGTTTGTGATACAGCTCACGAACAAACTAACGTAATAACAGCGGCTGCAGCGGCTGTCTCTGGCATCGATTGATCTCGTCTGTTACAGCAGTGGGCGGGGGATGTTTCCCGTTAAAGTGGCCATCTTTGTGAGGGGCAGATGAAGCCGCTCGTAGTTATTTATTTATTTTTTTAAAGGAAAGGGGAAAAAAAAGAAAAGAGCTAGGGCAGGCGGAGCCGATCTGTTCCTTCCGAACCGAGCGATTGCTTCTGCCTGCAGCTCGCGCGGGCCGCGGAAGATGGCGGAGTGCGTTGGCGGGGACAGCAGGGTTTCTCGCCCCTCAGGGGGGCCGGGTCAAACTTGGTGCCTCAAGCGAGTGGGGATGAGCGAAGAGTGGCTGCTGCTGGAGGACGGCAGCGAGGTGAGAGAGAGCGCGGCGAGAGCTGCCCCACCCCCTCCTCGAGCGCCGGGGCTTTGAGGGGCGGCGGCGAAGTGAGGGACCGTGTTGGGAAGGGAAAGGGAAAGAGAAAGGAAAGCTGCGCCTCCTGTTGCCCGCTTTTGGAACTGCGCCCTCCTTTGCCTCGGAGGGGAGCGCGCGAATTGCTCTCCTCAGCTGAGGGGGCCGGGTCGGGGCTGTGGGATCAATAAAGCAGCTGGGAGGCGGATATTAACTTTCTCATTTGCCTCTTGTACCGTATCCCTCTCAGCCCACTAACTGAAGCTTCTTCTTGTCCTTTCTCCACCCCATGGTTCCCCATAGCCTCGGTCTGAGCAGAATTGTTGTTTAGTCGTGTCCGACTCTTCGTGACCCCATGGACCAGAGCAGGCCAGGCACTCCTGTCTTCCACTGCCTCCCGCAGTTTGGTCAAACTCAGGCTGGTAGCTTCGAGAACACCGTCCAACCATCTCGTCCTCTGTCGTCCCCTTCTCCTTGTGCCCTCAATCTTTCCCAACATCAGGGTCTTTTCCAGGGAGTCTTCTCTTCTCATGAGGTGGCCAAAGTATTGGAGCCTCGGCTTCAGGATCTGTCCTAACAGTGAGCACTCAGGGCAGATTTTCTTCAGAATGGAGAGGTTTGATCTTCTTGCAGTCCATGGGACTCTCAAGAGTCTCCTCCAGCACCATAATTCAAAAGCATCAATTCTTCGGCGATCAGCCTTCTTTATGGTCCAGAGCAGAATTAGGTCAGCCCTAAAAGGCCAAAATTTAGAGCTGGGGCTGAATGGGTCGTCTTCTTCTGTTTTCAAAGTCCTTGTCCGACCTTTCAGTTTAAACTTTTAGGGTAACATTCAGTAAAACAATAAAGCCAATTAATACAATAAAAAAGCAGTGAACTGCCGAAATAAAACAGCAAATAAAGCAAAGCCCTCAACAGTCAGCCTGGTGGGCCAAAACGTGGTTTGTTGCCCTACCCTGTAATTTCCATCCAGTATTGTTATTATTTATTAAATTTTTATACCGTCCTTCATCCAGGGTGGTTTACAATATAAAAACACAGAAGTGCATAACAGTAACAAACACACGCACACGCAGTTTAAAAGGTCATACAGTACATTGTTTAACTGGCCAAAGGCTTGGGAGAAGAGTGTTTTTGCCAGACACCTAAAAATATGCAATGAAGGTGCCAGGCGAGCCGCCCTAGCGGGGGCATTCCACAAACAGAGAGCCACCACAGAAAAGACCCATTCTTGTGTTACCACCCTCATATGATTGTGGGGTCCCCCCCACTGTGCCCAAACATTGTTTCATTTCCTTCTAGAATCTAGATTAAAGTGATGTAAGCGTTTACAGGATCACCTGTAACAGGACCACCTTAAGCATCTTCACTCTGAGCTATATCTTAGTTAAATGGTACTTGCTCTCCTGAATGTGCTTAAGATTGTAGCCACAGAGGTGTCCATGCTGGCACATCTTCATCATAAAAGATTTGACCTTCAGTTGTACTTCTATAAGGCAGTTTAAAAGAAAGTTTCGCCTGCCTAACTTAACACTTGCCCATCTGTTGAAATCTAGTGAACATCTTTGCTGGTTATGACAAAGTAGTTAGCATGATCTAAAGCCAGCCTGCAAGCTTTTGACACCAAGCGAAATGCAGTTCACTGTTCATAAATGAACAGCAGGCTGCATCAGCAGCAAAATAAGCCTTCTGATTTTGTTATCGGTATGGAATTGCAAAAGCAAAGGTGTTCTCAAGCCCATGAATACATTTTGACTTTGAGTCTCAGGCTCCATAGGCCTGATTAAAATGTTGACCATAATTCTGGGAACAAATGCTGTGGAAGGTTTCAAGCTTTTATTAAAATTTATATCCTCCTTAGTGGCTCACAGTGCATAAAAATAAACAACAAGAACCAATACAAGGTACTATAATGAAAGATATGACAGATCTTCAAAGGATTGTTGTTCATGTGCAGTTATTTTGGTCGAAAAGTGTGATAACCTTACAAGTGACAGGATGGAGAAAATCTGTGATTTGTCAGCTGTGTCTATTACTTGGAAGCTCTGTACTTATGAACATGATAACCTCTGAAGCCATATGGTGAGATTGAACTGTGACAAGAGCCAGAAGGCAGGACAGAGTCTCCAAGAATCCCTGATCATATAGAAGCTGTGCAGCTTGAAAATATATTGACAAGCCTTCCCTCTTTTTAAGTCCCTGGAGGTGCTTTGAAAGCCATGCATCAACTGCAGAGCTTTGGGGTGAAGGAGAAATGAAGCATTTAATGTAACCTGAAAGGGGTTTATCTACAATACTGTATATATTGACATCATAGTCCAGATTGTTAAGTATTACGTTAATGTAATTTGAAGTTTGATCTTCATAGAAAAAAAATGAATAAATGTCCAATTGCTTAATACAGGCCTAAAGCTGAATTAAATGGGATTTTGAAGAATTTATAATTGCAATGGCATTCTCAGCTGTTATTGGCTACTCAGACTTGTTTGTTAGGCTACTTTGGATTTGCCTGCTAGAGTAAATAGCTCTTTTTACAAATAAACAAATACTCATTTGTGGAAAACTAATGAACAACAACAACAACAATAGTTCACAGGTTTCAAAAATGTGTTGACTGGGATAACATGTTTAGGTCTAATTAATGAAGAGGTTAATGTTGTAGAGTAAACTTACTTGCCAGGCTTAGCTAGCTTAGCTCTCACCTTAAGGGGAAGGCAATCAAGCCTATTGTTGTACCTCAGTCTACTAGAGAAGCTCAGTGTGTGAAGACATTTTGAACTGCTTGCTGCAGCTCAGACTGCATGGCTTTTACAAGCCATTATTGTGTTACCATACCACCTGTGCAACTTTTTCTGAATGCTGTATGGAAAAGTACATGAATCTGAGCTTTGAAGAGTTTGTAAGTAAACCATTTTTAACTTCCCAAATGTGTGGCCATTTTCAATGTTAGAGGAAGAGGAGAACTTTGGGAAGAACTTAGAAGGGCATATTTTAAAGGTCTAACAGCATATATTTCCATGCTTTACTTTGCTGCATATTTTGTGATTTTAAATTTATGCTGGGGTTCTCTCACTAAGGAGTACTTGCCCCAAACTTGCATTTTGGCATCCAGGAAATCATCTTTTTATATGCCTGTATTTCATTGCAACCAACATTGACATATCAAACAATCTTGGCACTGCAAGTAAAATAATGGAATACTTGTATGTTGGCTTAATGTATTCCCTTGAATTCCTGTAAGAAACTAATGAAATACCCATTTCACAGCATTGAAATCCAGAATAGATATGTTGGAGATATTGGTAAAGGAGATTATTAATTGCTTGCTTGTTTGTTTGTTTAGGTAAGTATAGGTCGAGGAACTGGTGCTACTTACCAACTGATGTCAAAATCCTGTCCTTTGATGATCTCCCGGAACCACTGTGTTTTCCAGCAAAATACTGATGGGCAGTGGACAGTGATTGATAACAAGGTACGGAAAGTTACTAAAAATGAATTGACTTGAAAGATGCTGAATGTAGAATCCAGTTTGAAAATGTGATCAGGAAAGC